ACAGGGCGGTACGTAATTAGCGAGGAATGTCTCCAGTGTATTTAAAATTCAAGTACAGTTACAGCTATGTAACTGTTAAACAATGTAACTAATTACTAAGTTACCAGAACTTTTTCACTGACCATAAACCAGACTGACTTAGCTTCTAAGAATGTTTGGGCATGTAAGCGCTTCCTTTGCGGAAATCCACTAAATAAATTTGCCCTACCCAACAATAAGAACCATTGGAAAATTTTGATGTTTCTTCTTAAAAGCCATGGGAACGATTGCGCGATTGCGACCGTTTGACTAGGTCGACGAAGAGTTATCGACTGGACGCTCGGAAATTATCGGAATCTCCGATGTTGGCTTGGCCAGTCACACCAAGGCGGCATTTCATGTTTCGAGTACGTACACTTAAAATTGCTCGTAAATCTTTTGCCGTCTTGGCATCGAAAGCATTTAGAATGACGTTAGCGCTTTGCGGAGATCCGGGCAAGGCGGAAACTAGTTATTAATTGGCGATAACAGCTCTACCAAAGAAATCTAAATTGGGATAATTGAAAACATTAAAATAGCCCCTCGTGATTAGACATGTGGGAGTTTTGTTATTTTGTCTCGTCTCGCGTTTTGTGAGTAGCGTCTCATGGTATATTGACAAACAAAAGCACGGGGAAGTTTACAGATTCTTTACTCAAGAAAAATCGGAAGTCACCGAATATCCCAGAAAGTTTTGATTTTGTACAGTCTGCCTGGTAGAGTGTTTGGGGCAATATGCGTGAGTCTGTGAGTCCAGTAGACTACCTGTATTCAAGTACGGTATGTTAATACTCAGTGACTATATTTTCGAACGCTAACCCAAGGAAGATCTCTGCCGCGCTGCAGATCAGTACTCTCGACAAATTTTCTTACAAAGGTATGCAACTTCATTATGAATTGAAAAAAATCCTCCCTTTTTTTGTGACGTTTATTTCCTAGAAGAACAAAGTCTTGCCCAACTCCGCTCCTTGACAACATTGTGTCCCAATCGATGGGAAAATATTTAGGCGTAACGGAGCAACCGACATTTCTCAAATTCCTTCTCCGCGAACTGACTGATATAAAATCGCTTACAGGTGATGGGATTTTATTACTTATATAACCCAATCCGGGGAAATCAACATTTCCCATACAATAGAAAAGCTGAAATCATTAATAAGTTGGTGGGAGATCATTTAGGGAAATCTTATCACTTACTTAAACCAAGATCAAGGCTTTCTTTTTCTAAAAGGTAAGACTTTAATCTTGCTTTGTGGGCGATCTGAAAGACGCACGGATTAACACGAACGAGAAAAACTTTCAGCGAGTTCTTTTCAGGTGGTAATTACCTCGCTCTTGAAGTCCAGTCTTTAAGATTATTAGAGCTTGTTAGCAAAGTTTGCATCGAGCGTTGTCCGCAACAACCTTGAAAAGGTGATTGTTTCGGAAGTAACACATTATCAGCCCGATAATTCGTTCGGTATGAAGAAATATTCAAATGTGCTGCGTAATAACGAGATATTATCCTGCCTTTTAAAGTCATGACAAACCTTGATTAGAGTAATTAAGTCGTTCGGTCATGCATGCAGACATTCGATTTAATTAAAAAGCTAAACCATGTGCATTAACTCAGCGCAGAATGGACTCATACTGTCATACTTGTCAACACTTAGGGAGACTAACTCATGGAGACTATAACTTTCTTATTCCGTCCTCCCTTCGTCAACGATAGGACTCGATTAGCTGAAATATTGACCATTTTTTTCTGATTCAATTCACATGAAGTTGTTGACAAATTCTTTCGCCTGAAAACATTCGCTCGAGATTGAGTATTTCGCTTGATTGTGCTGAATTGACGTCATCAATGACGTCCAATACAGTGTTCATACATTTGACCAAATACGAGGTTAAACCGCGGAACCCAGGACCAATTACGGTCAGTCATTATTATTAATCACTAGTCGACGGGTTAACTAAAGTGAATCTCAGAGAAAACAGCACTCCGCACAACAGGACGTTGGTTCTTTGTACTTTGCTTCAGGTAACAATTTTTCTCTACACTCCACTTAGAACTGAAAATATCCGGCACCGGAAAAACTTCCTTCTCTATCGGACGGACACACAGTAGTAGTTGTCTTCTATTTCACCGGTAATGCCTTCACGCTTGTGAATCACTCACAGGAACCACGGAGGAACAACGTAGATAAAATTGATCGTTGTTCTTAACTTCAGGAAGTCAACGAAAACTATAAGTTATCAGTTCTTACGTCAGGTGTGCTGTTTTCCGCCCAGTCCAGGCCAGATACGCTCAAAAGAATGTTCGCCCAGGTGTACTATGGAGCGGGAAGTTTTTTTTAAGACCCTCTACAGTGAAGTACAATATCTGAACGCAGATTAGGAAGAAAAAACCCTGCTACTAAATTTTTTCAACAAACTTGGTAACATAGTCTGATACGGATTAGTTGCCGAGCTATATATTTTAATTAGTTAGATTATCAGCGTATGGTAATAGAAGTGCTTCGAGGTCATACAACTTCCTCTAGAGATGCTTGGGTGTGTACTTTACGAGTAAAACAATACAGGAAGATTAAATCAATCTTGGCTGGGGTTTTCACGTAACCAATGTGTAACTAAAGAACAACGAGACGGGAGCAGTGATGTAGAAAGGTCAGGGCCTGTGATAAGCGAATTGCACCATGAGGAAATCAACAAAGAGTGCAATAATAATTCGGCAGCCTCTTCAAATAATTATCAAACCGGCAAAACTCAACTATCCAGGCTGCATGAATGTGAGCCAGGTCGTAAAATCAAGTTTGCAACAATGAGCGCGTGTTTAGATTAATTTCCGGTGCTCAAGGCTCAAGCGTCGTGTCACCGGAAGTTTGTTAAGCCTGAGCTCGTTTCTGATTGGTCCTTACCGACGGGAAGGCTGGGCGTTTAAGTAATTTTTACGAGTTCCTCGTTCTGCAGTTCATTCATTTATTGCCTTGGTGTCTCCGCAGTTACTAGAAGACGTAACTAACTCCGTCCAGTATTATACAAAGACCCGAAGGAACATGGATCGTGGCATCTGTAATGGCTGTAGATCACTGTCAAGGATATCAACTGTGTTAGTTGTTGTTGTGGTGTCGCTTGTTTTGCGATCAGGTTAGTGAGAGCATGTCGACTCCAATACTCCACATTAATTTCCATACTACAAATTACACGTGTATGAACAGTTCGTCTCATCTTTAGAAGAGGTAGCCCTTAAGAGACTTCATTTACGCATAGAGATCATAATCATTGCCATCACCCTTAAGGTGTGTTGCTCCACACATAATTTTCAAATGTAATTGAATAAAAGATCAAAACATTGGCCAATTTGATACCTCTCTGATAACGAGTTTTTAGAAATCACTGCATCTTTACGGAGGCTACAAGATCGTCGATTACGATTAGAATTTCCCTGCTTAAAATTTTACGAACCGTTTTGAAAATGATCCCGGAATGATCTGCATTAGAGAGCATTTTGAGTCACGCTAAATAGTTTATCGTTTAATCCGCAGCGCGTAGTTTTCAACTCTTCTCCAACGAATCAAATCAAAGCTTTTTTTTCACAGTCGCTTTATTCCGATATGAAATCTTTCAAGGCGAAGACAATTTTGCTTTGTTTCTAAAGACTATTGCGACGCGAAGCGAGCGACTCGAACACTCACAGACCGAGCGGAGCGGCGGTTAATTAAAGGCCGCGCACACACACACACACAAAAAAAATTCCGCGAAAAAATTGCACACATGGGACTATTTCGTGATTACAAACGTGGCTTGGCAACAATAGCGCCTTAACGCTTTATAGCGTGGGATGTTTGTTGCTTGTTATGTGGGAAATCTGTAATTTTCGCAATTTCTGAGAAATTCTGCTTACGAAATCACTATTTGATTATACAAACAGCATTGCTTGTGGTAAGAAATGTGTGGAATTTAACACCTTTGATGTGATTTTATTTATGTACAAAACAGTGGCGCTCGAGTTTACTTTGTGGGATTTTTAACACCAGTAAACACAGATTACTTCTGCTTTTGTAATGAATTTTGCCTTTCTTAACGCCTGAAAGAGATAATAGTGTCCAAGTGTTTCCAGCTACTTAAAACCCGATCGATATCTGACTGCTGGTGTAGGTAAACAAATGATTAACCCCACTGATTAACCAACAAATCGTTTTTGAGACTATATATATACTATAAGAACCCGTTTTTCCCCTTTGAGGTGGTAAAACTGACCAATATATTATTTGGGGCGTTTTGCATGAATACTTTATGAGAGTTGATGACGGCCTCTTAAGAGTCCAAAGTTTGCTGCTTAAAAGTTTCCAATCTCGCTGTCAAAATTGAACGGAGTTTGTGAACTAAACAATACCTATATTTTTACCTTCATTGAACAACGTAGCTTTTATTTTCATCTTCCTCCTACATCTGACTTTTTCTAGTGTTTATTTCATTCACCAAACTATTTTGACAAATGTTATGAAAATATGCCTATATTTTGAACCAAACACCTAAAAATTACACCAATTATATTGTGTTCTTAATTGGGCGAAAGTTGGCCCAGGTTTCATTGAAATAATTAGTTAATTTTACATTCGTTCATCAAATTTTAAATCAACAAGTTGTGATAATTGAAATTGTAAAAAATGAAGCAAATATTCTTTTTTTATATATAAAAAAGGTGAATACGTAAGAACTATCAAAATTTAGCTAAATTAAAGTGTTACAATGCTATGGTTTAATTTAGCCAAAAAAAGTTCAAGCCTTAAGCATTACGATACTTTGTTTATGAAAAGAGAGAACTGCAGACATGGCACATCTATGGCCTTCTTAAAGTTGATAAATTATAGATGACTATGCTTGCCTAAAATAAAGAATTCCCTTTTTTCCCATTGAAAGTGCCCTAATATGTATAATTTCCTTTTTTTCCCAATGAAAGTGTCATCAATAAAACTGCCAGAGGAGACATGTAAACCAAGACCAGTGGTGGTTTCTGTGACTCAAGATTACAGACCATACCACATAACAGTGTATCGCTGCTCCGGAACTTGTGATGCTAACATACCACCCAGCCAAAAACCATGTACAGCAGCTAAAAAGAAAGAAATAGAAGTCGAATTTACGGGTCCATTAGGACAGCATCACAAGACTATCAAAATTTATAATCATACAAGTTGCAGTTGCGAGTGTAACTTGGAATGTAATTGGGCTGAGGGGGAGCGGCTAGATGGAGATAACTGCAGATGCCTAAAGGGGCCAAGTACTGACAGATTTGTTGGTGGCCAAAAAACAGGTGTGATGCCTTAAACAACAACAACAACAACAACAACAACAACAACAACAACAACAACAGCAACAACAACAACAATAATAATGATAATGATAATGATGATGATTATGATAATGACAATGATAATGATAATAATAATGTCTGTGTTTCTATTGTGATTTTGATGCTTAGCTTGTTGTCCTGTACCCTGTTCAAACTCCTTTAGTTTCTTTTTTTCTTTGAGTGGTGGAAGATGTACCATCCAGGGTTTTTCGCTGACTTGGCTTCACTGACCAACAAATGCTTTTTCGAAGTTATACTGAGTTCCATATCCACCCAGTATCCCATGCCATCCAGGGGGACATTAAACACTTCCTATCACTTCATATGATAACCGATTTGAGTTTAGTAATAATGCAATACTTATTGTTTGAGTAGAAGTGCCTGAGATTTCGAAACCTTTGACCTGTCACCAGAGTTACAGTATACTAGCATCTACACTTGTTATTAGTGAGCTGCAAATTTGCCCAAGGTTACTCTCACTTGGAATTCTATAATTCAATGATATTAATGTGAATCCTTTCATGAATGACAGAGGATGTGCTTCCATACAAGATTGGCCTAGCTGCTTTGGGATTCGTTACCGCATTGATTCTGGTTCTGGTTGTGTGCACAAAACGAAAGCAGGTTCTAGAGAGTGTGAAAAAAAGCTGCTGCAAAAGAGGTTGGTGACATGAAAATAATATTGCTTTATGTAGTGCATGATACACAAGAGACTGTAAGGACATCAAATACATGTACTGTTCAGTGTGCATATGCATTATCAATATCTTTAGAATTATTCCTCAGTCTAAAGGCATGGTTTACAGTTAATTTTAAGCTTCTTTACTCACTCAAGACTTTGATAGACAAGAATGAGTGCAAAATCATAAGTAAATGACAAAGATCTCAGTCATGGTATTTTGGCCATGTACAAAATGACCTTAAATTGAAGGAAACCTGAAAATAGTTGTTTAATATGATAGAAAAACACCAAAGAAATAATAATAAACCATAAAGGAAGAAGGACAGCTAAGAGTGAAGAAGATTAACATGGATTAAAAACAATGAACTTGAAATATTTTTGGTAAACTTTTCAAGGTGGTTATGTAGCTGTAACTTGCAGTCAGTCATAACCCATTTCTTGTATTTATCTCTGCAATACAGACCCACCACCAGCAGCAGCAGTGGAAGCAGCAGTCTAAATATAACAGTATTGAGTCACAGGATGGGAAGCAAGAACAAGTTAAACATCCACTTCAAAAAATGGCATTTGCCTGTACTGAAATGCCAATCTCAAGTACAAGACCAGCTCTGATTGCTGTTAGTTTTTATTGTGCACATGTTCTAGGGATTTTTAAAAGATTTGGAAATTAAACTAATGCTATGTTTAACATAAGAAGGTATGCACCAAAATCTAGAACAAATAAACTGGTTGAACATACTAGATGGTTTACAATATTAGCAGTGATTTAAAAAGGTCCAAAAAAAGAGTTTGGTTTTTTATTTGCTTTCTTAATTGAACTTGCAAGTACATTTGATGATTGTACATGTTGTAGATGTAGAATAGTTATTTAAGTATCTTTAAAAGTAACTTTTTTAAGCCTCTTGATTGAGGAATCATCGCATACTGTAAATAACAGGTCCGTTTAATTTATATATAACAAACTTAAGGTAGACCAAATACTTATAGCTCTTGTGACAATCACATTATGCATCAAAACGCCACTCGTGTAGTTCGTCTTTAGTACACAAGCAGGCAGCGTTTCCTTCTCAAAAGATATGTATTTCTCATAGTGAAGATGAATTCATTGCAGAGCCCGAGGTTTATTCATTTACCACTAGACTCTTTACAGATGAAAACAGTTATTACTGACAGAAGAATCCTTTTGGATTCAAAGTTGTTCACTTAGGACGTTTAGTAAACCATGATTCCCTCAGTAGAAAGGGATAAACATAATTATCAGGTAGATTGAAATGTTGACACATGTTGGTATATTACAGCGTACATGTATTACATATAATAAGTGTACCTTCTATAAGGCAGAATCCAGTAGGATTCTAAGTGGTTCGTTTGACCATTAGAAATTCAAGGTCATTGGGATACCAGTGATAACAATGCGTATGCAGTGTTGAGCATGCCGTTGTTTTTGTGATAATTAAGTAGCAAGTCATTCATTGTACAGTCTGGAGAATTCATAGAATTTGTAATTCAAACATTTTCAAGATTGCCCATATTAATATTAAATATCAGTTTTTGATCTTTCATTGACCAACAGAACATACAACCTTCAGTTTTGTCCTGTTTTGGGGGGGCAATAATGAGAATCATACGAAAGGTCAGGTTGTATTAAATAACTGATAATTGCATAATATTGTGTACATGTAAGTACATTTGATGGAATAAAACAAATAATTACAGTGTTTCCATTGTCTAATATAATTATGATTTGACTACATCAATGCAGGGATCCCTGTCTTTAAACGGAACTCCCACCCCCTCAAATCTTAGAAAAAAAAAAGTCCCAACAGTTAAGGGCCATCCTCCTCCAATAATATCAACCACCAGTCATTGACAATAAGTTAATAACAAGATCTCCTGAATGCACAGGAAATCCTAGCATATGTCAGAATTTGCATGGAGGCTAGTAACTGAAATATTAAATTGATTATTGTGAGAGTAATTCCCTGTTTAATGTTATTTTTTCAAGATTCATTGCTTCTAGACATTTCTTCTCACCTTGGCATGTTAAACGAGATCTGAGGGAATTTAGGTTTTGTATCCTTGTGTCTCTTATAACACTGTAGGGTGAATAACCTTAATTTGTGCCAATTTAATTGTTGAAATACCGTAATGATTTGATTTAGCACCTCCTTCAAATAAGCGCCCCCTTTCGAATAACTGACCCCTTCGAATGTGTTTTTACTATTAAGTGCCCCTATTAGGTGCCCCATTCTAATAAGCACCCCTATTCTAATATTACAATATTACAGTGCCATCATATCAACCGAGGTTCATTAATTGCTCACATAAGGAATGCTGCATCACAAAAACAATGGTCTTCGTCTGAGTTTCTCAACCTTTATGTCCACGAGAGTACGTAGTTCCTTCAAATTTTGTGGCAATTGCTTGGCCAGGAAGGATCCAGGGATAACTATTCCATTTTCCAGTCTCCTTGATCCAGTCAACATATATTTGTTACTGTTCTGTACAGTTTCTGTTATTGTTCCTTTCTTTTAAATAACTAGCGTATTAAAGTTTTGCTTTGACCATTCAGTTGTTTTTCCAAAAAGAAATAAGCACGCTGATTGATTTCAAGTTTACAGTAGTTTCTTATCTCCATACAAACTCTTACATTGTGCTTCAAGGGTCCCTGTTGTGGGAATATAAAATTATAAAGCCCATTGGGCTTTACATTAAGTTATATATAGCTTATGAAAGAAGTGCAACATCCCCCAGGTAAAGGGCTAAAATTCTGGATAAAGGTAAGTTCAATAGTATAACCAATGCCTGAAAAGTTATGTAATTATTACTGTGATTCTGCTGAGAGCAAAGCAGTTAAAAGAAGAAGAATGATTCAAGTGTTATTTTCCTGTGTCATCTGCAAACTTGAACATCAGAATTTACACACTGTAACACCATCAAAAATGTCACAATTTATTGTCCATTTCAAATAAAAGAAAGAACATTTATGTAACTTGCTACGTCATGGCACATTCTAAATATTAAGAACATCAAAGTTATTTTTATCGCATACATGTAAGCTTTACAATTTCAACAAATTGGATTAACAAGAAGAGAGCCCAACTGTATAAAAATAAGTACAAGTCAAATGTTAAGCAATGAACAAATTATTTTGTACCTCTGAAATAACAACAAACATACATTTGTAATAGTGTGAAAGTATTACAACAGTCATGTCTCAAAGATAGACCAGCCACCAACTATTAACTTCTGGTTATCTAGTCTCCATGCAACCCCACCCCCGAAGTTTTTATCTCATGAAGTGCACCCCTTCCTAAAGCAAATGAGAATGTACGATGATTACTGTAGATTAAACAGATTACGTATTCTGAAATCTAAAAATAGTGACAAAGTTGCACAAATGTTCAAGCAACGATGATATCTCCCAGATCTTCATTCCACATCTACATGTAGTTTGAGTTTAAATAAATTGACTAAATTAGGTTATCTGTGCTGTTATTCAATGACTTAATTCAGAATTCTAGACTATGCAATTTGGAGGCTGATGACCATAATTTTAAGGTAGAGAAGTATCTTCCAGGCAGTTTCAATACACACCAGCTAGGTGGGTAATACAAGGCCCCCTCTTCTTAAGAGGGAAACAGATGATAAAGCAAAGTAAAAGAAAACAATCAAGACTAACAATTGCCAAAAACAAACAAACTATTTACTAGCTTGATAAATAGAGTACTATACATAACATCTCACTTGTGTCATTTTTGTACAACATTTCTCTAAGGAGCTGGCTAAATACAATATTAATAATTTAATATTATCATAGAATACAACAAATTCTTAACTGTTGTAACTTTGTTCAGAGACTTTGTCAACCTTAACCATCAAAACTAAAGAAAAATAATACAATTCACAAGAACGCACAGAGCTTCTTCTGACAGTTTACTTCCTATCTTTCAGTTGAAAATGGTGTCATGATGACTTCAAAATACTGTTCGTTCTTATTGCTAAATTTTACTTGCTTGTGCATTTCAAAACCTTTACTCGTAATAAAATTCATGTCTTATGATTTTTGTGCAATAGGTTAGTAAGTCCAGGAGGCACAAGAGGAGCAATCTCGTTCCCAGAGCCCACGTGTCTTTTGGTCAGCACCAAGACACAGAGCTCTGGAATAACCAATTTCCAGACTCCAAGATTTTAGGGGTTCCAGTTTCATGGTGCATGTGTGCCTTGGTTTAAAACATGGCAATCTCATTCCCAGAGCCCATGTGTCTTTTGGCTGGTGCTGACCAAAAGACATGTGGGCTCTGGGAGCGAGATTGCAAGAGGAACACAGTTACAAAAACTGCCAGTTCAACGCCACCTACCTGTTATAACTACCTCACAATGTAGAAGTATTCCTAATAAAATCTGAAAGCTTTTGGCTTCTAAAACTTTTAAAACAATGTTTTGCCAGTGTGTACATCAAGAAAGCCTGTAGTTTGTATCTAAAATAATTTTTGTATTGCTGAGATTGATGCACCGTTTGTTCAGCAAGTTCATTATTAAGTTTCAACTTTCATTCCTGTTCTTTGTGCTTGGATTTCCTGTGGTTGCCACTCTTTACATTTGGGTGTCCTATGGTACACAGCTCGTATATTCCTGACCAACACTTTTACAACCAATAATATATCAATTTTGTTTTTTAAAAATGACTAAAATGAATAAATGTCATTACAGATTAAATAAAATTATTTTTTCGTAGCCGACAGAGGCTAAAACTAACCCTAAGTCTAAAAGTCATCAACAGCAAGTTATTTCTGCTAAAGCAAACTGCATGTACTAATCTTGTCAAACACATTAACAATACTCTGCTCTACATTGTATTTTCTCTTCTCAGTACTTGGTAATGTGGTAAAACACGGTCTCTGGTATTTGATATAACTACATCATATTCATTTATTTAAGCTGTTACAGTGTGATTCCTATAACAGTGCAACTGAGGCAAAAAAATATAAAACCATACGACCAAAACCAAAGTAGCCAGCCCAGTTACATAAATCTCACATCATTTCTTATTTTCTCCTTACCTTTTGTAACAAATTCAGGTAAACAAAATTGAGAAAAGAAGCTCTGATCACCTTGAACGTAATGACCAAAACCAAATTCTACTAACAAAAATAAATGTTCTACAAGCCCTGAGGAGAGTTTGGAAGTTGACCTGTATCTGGCTGAAAGAATTTCTAATTATTATAAATTCTAATTTTCTGCCAGAGAGAGTTGGATGACTTTTGCCAGCTCCTCTTCCTCTAGTTTTCTTAGTCGTTCATCTTCTTCCAGTTGCTGTTCAGATAGTGCCATAGCCAACTGCAAGTCTTCATCATAGACAACAGCTCCATCTCCTTCTTGTCTATCATCAGGAGGGCTTTGTGTGGATTCTTCCCCTTCAATGCCACTTTCCCTCATGCTCTCCCTTATAGCACTGCAACCACGACATAAGATTCAGTTACTTTAAGTTATTACAGTCACTATTAATGACTCAATTTAGTACCCTCCTTTCCAATAAGCCCCTTTGTTGAGTGACGTTTTTCTAATAAAGGCCTCTTTTCCAATACGCAGCACCCACCCCCCCTGCCCCCATTGCAAACATGGTATTGAAGACCTAAAGTGCATTCAAGTCTGCTTTTTCACCCAAATGTAATATTGAACTTACTTAATTGACTTTAGCACAATCAAGAGAATGGCATTATGACCATGAGAACGTTTACTGTTGCTTAATAGTTCTTGAGTTAAACAACATGAGACTGAAATCCAAGATCCTAGTCTGAGGAATTGGAGATACACATGTAAGTAGCCTCATCAGTGCCAGAACAGGTACATACTTACAGTAAAGCCCCAGTTCTTTTGATACATATAGAACAAACTACTGACCCCACCCCTCCCCCCCTTGAAATCCTCCAGATCCACCCCAGACACCTACATTGCGTTTCTCATGGGTCTCATCATACACTTAATGCATTAATCATAAGCATTGTATACATGCATAGCCCACAAGGAGGAGATGGGCACATGCACACAACCTCTTTGTTAGGGCAAGGATAAGGTGTTACCGTTGAAGGTCGTCCTCTTCCATCTGTTGGCTGTCTCTCAAAGCTCGTAGTGTAATCATCTGTGCTGGGTCTTGCTGATATTCCAGTAGGCTCTGCTGAATTGCTAGTTGCAGCATCTCATCTTCTTCATCTCTGAGAGGTGCTATAAAATAAGCACAGATTGTGAATGGTGCATATTCATTTTAATTTATTCATCACTTGAAATTATCCAGTTCTGGACTTCTAAAGATTATAATTCACACAGACTGTTTCATCTTTATTTAGTACTTGTAAATCAAGTTATTATTGACTGCCTACTTTTCAGTGCCAAGAAAACATCTTAAAAACATCTCTTCAGTACACTTTACTTGTACAAGCTACATGTACATGACTATTCAAATCACATCCTAGTTATGTGTATCCCAAACTTTGGTCATTTCTCGTGTCAAGGCCTGTTGAAAGTCCTGGATTACTCCTCTAAAATATAAAAAAATTGTTTATTCTGCTCATCTGTTTGTTTTAAGGAGATTGCAAGTCAATATATGAAGGATCTTAAATTTGAACAGAGCAGGAAGATGTAAAGATATTATTGAACAATCATCGTAGTTATGTTCACAGCCTAAGCACTTGTGAAAAAATCACCTGAAAGAAAATTCATACTTCAATGGGATTCAAAACCATGACCTCTGATCTCCAATACCAGTGCAGTACACTGCATATATTGGGCTATCAAACTAACTGGGAGCTTGTCATGTACTGAGTTTGATTTTTAAAGGAATTCCCAAGCTGCCGACCAGTGCATATGTCACAGTGAGAGAGTATGAACTTTTGCATCCATTTGACTTTAGAACACTGCTATATTACTCACCTACAGGCTGATCCAAATTAACCTCTCTGTATCCTACTGGAGCATCAAAACAAGTTGACTCTATGACACACCTAGCAGCTATCCCCACAGCAGAGGAGCCTGGCTCCTCCTCTTGCTCTACAGGAGTCTCACTATCCTTATCAATCTCTTGGATATCAGCTTTAATAGCATGCACCCCAGCTACTGGAGATTCTCCACCACCAATATTGCCAAATGTCACCTTGGCATTCAGGACATGAAACAGCGGAATTTCTATGAAGATTATAAATCATGGTGTTAAAGCAGAGACCTTTAAATCCTTGCCTTTTTATTCCTTTACATCATTTTATTTACAAAACCTATGACACAGCCAGTCCTATATAGCTGCACCTGAAAGGACTAGCTTTAGAAAGGTCTGTTACTTTAAAGCTCATGCTGTATTTCCAAAACTGGAGGTCTCAAAAGAATTATCAACTGGAGATCCCCCTGATCAACAAGCCGTCAGAACTCCTTTTAACCATAATATGGTTAGAAAAATGTACTTTAGCCAGTCATGGAAACTAAATTTTCACAACAATTGGTGTTACTGAGGCAAGAGTCCACAAGACAAGACAAGCAAATAAAGGGCGAAACTAATGCAAAACTTACAAAGTCATTTCTAGCCTCCAGATTTTGCAAAAACAATGTGTGAAATGATCTTGATGTCTTGGCAAATTATTTTGCTTGACTTATATTAAAACTAGTCACGACTGCTTTCAGGGAAATATATCAGACCAGCATTTCCACAGTGGTGAAAAACATAAATATGCAAAAATCTAAAAAAACTGCCTTTATACACCCTTCTTTTTTTGAGTTTAAAACTCATATCCTGCCTGATTATTTGTATTGTGAACATTTTGATTATTTCACCAAAGGAAATTTAAGAAAATCACAAATAAAGCTTTAAAAAAGGCAAACAAGGCATTTGTTTGGGCATTCATAATTCAAGGCTAAAAGCCAAGATTTTAACGGAGATGATAATAAAACAATACTTCATCATTGCTTATTACATTTAATAAGTTTGCAAGGACTGGGTGTAAAAATGAATGCAAAAACAGCATTTGACACTTAACACTAGCACGTGCAACGCGATAAATGATTACCCTTTGGAGCCACCTTAATACCTATTTTATAGCGGAAAAATTAACTCTGTCAACAAAATTATTATCTAAAAATAACAATCAATGTCAATGAGGTAACGCTATCCTGATGTCTACAACAGCTCCACTAGAATTACTAACAACAAACGATCTTATTTACGATAGTACCTATTTTGACAGGGAATCCTGCTGGTAAATGTAGTGCAATAAAGTCCCTCAGCTTGGCAAAGTGACTGTTGCTAATGGCCTATATTACATAACAAGAGAATCACAAAAATGAAATTACTTCCACTGTGAAAATCTTGAAATAGGTTGTTTAAACTTTGATGCCATGTCACACTATTTCACTAATATCTATATATAAGAATTGCCTTGTACAGAGTTGTCCAAAGCAGTTGGCTGACTGCAAAAATCCCTGTGTTCTTCATCACCTTGACTGTCTATTCTGCTGGGTTATATTTTTAATACTTAGAGATGATTTCCAGTCCATACTGTGCATTCTCGAGACTTTGTTTTGCTTCATGCAACTACTTACATGAAGTAAATTCAAATTTTCATGTCAACCGCCATTATGGATGCAAAGCGTTGTGCTCCGTTCTTTCTTGTGTTACTTGATGAAACAACTTTGCAGCTGTGAAAATCAATGAAGCTGTTGGGAAACGGCCTCAAAGATAGGGTCTGTGGTTCGTAACGAATAACATTGATTCCCATTCCATTGAGTGAGCCATTATAATGTTTATAAACATTAGGGTGCTGAGGTAAAATCAGCCACCTAATCCAACAACAAAGCTGCCTGTACATTTGAACGTTTAATTTCTGGACACTTTTTATCTCATTTTGGACAATTTTCAAAGTCGGACTCTCGGTGCTGAAACACAGTTAATGTATATTTACGCCCACAAAACATGAATTAAACTGAATAGAAACAATATATGTGAAAATGACAGTTTTACTGCACTCTCAAGGTTTTACAGATACAATGATAAAAAATTATCACAAATTCTATCAGGCTGTTACATATCTCAAGCAACATCTTGCTTACAGTGTGTAGAGTCCTCTCCATAAAGGAAACTAAGAGACTTGGAGCTACTTAAAAGTTTTATACTGTACTGTAAATATTTTGGACACTTTAAATTTCAAACACTTGAAAATTTCGGACATTTTTTTGTCCAAAATAATTAAGATCGTCAGAAATTTTTTGCAAGTAATTTACTTTAATCCTTTGAGACAAACAGGCCTGCAATATGAGTTCCCCCTTTGACAGTGTCTGTCTACTCACCAGCAATTTGATAATTGGAAGAACTTGTTCCCGAAGAGACAACGGGTGTTTGTCACACATTGAAATTGTAGCTTTGAATTTCTGCTTCTTGACTGACATCTCTTTCAACTTCCCAATATCTTCATGTCGAGAACGAACTCATTAGTTTTTACAGTGTCATAATTTATTATTAATAATTTAGTAATCAAAATAATCAATCTGGAATCAGCCAGTGAGAATAACTCGGTCAAAACTAAGTAGGTGTATAGTATAGGGTACAGTACATGTACATATGCAAAACGAAGAAAAGGTCTGGGTGCACCTAAAAGCAGTATATAAAGAATGACTGTTTTGACGCAGAGTGTATATAGTTGTTTTATGTTTTTTTGGAACAAGAAACACAAGGCACAAGTGAGGAAACAAGAACACCAAGCACAGAGGTCTTAGTAAGTATGAAGTTTCTTCATAACCTCATAATTAACCCAAAGTAAGGGGGGCTTATATTTGGGGGAAGGTAAGGGGAGCTTAAAGGTGAGTTAGAGTTTTGGTATACATTAAGATGGGACTATAACCTAGGGGGATGGGGGTTAAATCAGAATGTAATGGTAAATCATGACTTTACAATCTTACCTCTTGAATTTGCTTCTGGTGAAGGATTAAAGTATTCCTCTATACTCATTCGGTAAGGGTTAGTAGATGAGGGGTCTGCAACAGGACCAGTCTGTTCATCCTGTGAAGAAATTACCAAGCCAATAATTTGATTATGATTCATAACTTTCAACATTTGATTTAAATTGATTATTTTTTTATTTACCAAAAAAAAAAAAAAAAATGTAAGAAAGTGCATACTAAAAGCCTACTTTTCGTTTATAACTTGATAGAAACACGGAACTGACACAGTCAAGCTAGGAAAGAATAAAGAACTAGGAAAGAATAAAGAAGATAAATAGCAAATATGTTGTCATTATCTGTCAAGTTAAATTGCACATGGAAACTTGGGAGAACTTGAAAAATTACCTCCATATTACTTGACAAATTCTCCTCCTCAATACCCAACAGTGTTTGCAGACCATTTGCAGCAAATGAATCATTTGTATCTGTTGAATAAAAGTTTTCAGAACAGATGTTCAGCTGCTATTGCTGAAAAAAACTTTCTCCAAAGCACTTCTGCAGCCAACTAATTGCTCTATTTCAAGGCAAGTCATTATACCAGTGATTACCAGAATAGATTGGTTTGTATATATGTATAAGGTTTTTGTTATCCAATCTGTAGTGTTTAGCACTGAGTTCTTGGTGGCTTCCATCCACTTTCATCAGAGTTGCAATGTTCAGGTTCATTAATTGTAATTCATTAATAATTTATGATTGGGATTAATTCATCCGAGTTGCAATGTTAAGGGACATAAGTTATAAAAACAATTACATCTAGAGTCAGAACTCACTTTGCGCTGCCTGTTTATCCTCAGCGTTCAGATGTTCCACTCTTGTCTTAGTAAGCACTTCAACCCCAGTAGCAGTGTAAACCTTACATTCAAAGCCATTCACCACTTCCGTCTTGTCTCCACCCCAACCCCACATGGTCTTGTGCCTAAAGAAAGAATTAACTGACAGTTCAGAAATGGCTAAAAGCTTCAACATAGCCCAAGCGTCAAGAGCCTGTTACAGTTGGATATTGTCCAAAATCTCTTATTGCATGTGTTAATGGCTCACAACTGCATCTCGCTTCATAAACATTTACACACAAAAGACCTCACCCAAAATTCCGCCATCGTGACCCATGCTTGGTCGATGTCCCATGTAAATAGCCCTTTAATGATGTGGCATCAAATGAGCCATGATTACATTCTATACCATATCAGAGACCAGGGGCCCGTTTTTCAAAGGTCCCGAAAAGTTTGCCGTAGCAAAATCCCAAACCTTCTAATTACAGAGCTGTTATTTACATATTCTTAATATGACCAGAAGTTCCCTTCATACAAGAAGTTTCAGGCGTATACATCTTTCTGATTTTACATACAGATAAACTGAAAATGGCTTAATTGCGGACCAGAAAAGTTTTTGGGGCTTTCGAGAAACAGGCCCCTGGACTGTCATTAAGTATTGGGTCACCTATAACCTTGATCTTCACAGCTGTAACAAACTTGTAACTTTGGGGGTGAATTGTATCAACAAAAGACAATTTCACTCATAACATCAAGGGCCCATCAAGTATACTCAGCCGTAACAGGTGGTACGGGGTTACAGCCCTTAATGACAGCCCTGGAGACAGAACACTGACATCATGATTACACAACTGTATCTAATAGTCAGCTAGACCAGTCTTTACCTTGTAAATGCTATATTATCAGTGTTAAGCATAGTGGCAACAGCTGGTGTTGTCAGTCTGGCATTGATGGCATCATCTGAGGGTTTCAGACCCTCCAGGTCTCGAAAATCATCTCTGAAACAACAATAACAACAACAACAAAACAATCATGCCATTGTCATGTGGTGATATAAACATTCCAGTCTCTCCTTTTTTTCATAAATAATACGGTAAATCATATGAAAGTAGAAGAAAGCTTAAGTGCCCTAGGAGAAGATCCTTTGTTACCTGCTTTTACTCACTGAAGAGAAAGTCTCTTCTATAGATATGCATACATGTATACCCTGGGCAGAAAAGAATGAAGGAAGTTGCCATCTGCAAAAGTAGCTGAATGCCAACTAAACATTACGAACAATTTTGGAAATCAAACATATAAACAAAATTGATCACAAGTTACTGTAAGTTGGAGGTATGCACTGAACTATTATTACAACGTACCTGATTCGTAGGGTCTCCCTAAAGTATCTCTTTTTATCATGGTCAATCTCTAAAAATTCTCCTCCATCAGCTGAAAACAAATCAACCACAGAAAACAGCAAATTTGGAATGCAGCCTTACATACATGAAACAGATTTTAAAGCCAAATTTTTCTCAAGAAGTCTTAAGGCAGGATTTGCCATAAGAGCTTGAAGTTTCGAAGTTTCGAATTTAAATTTACAAACTTTTCCTAAATGTTTTACCCATGGTTTTTAATAATTCTTCAGGGTCAGGGGTGTCACAAAGTGCAGTGAACTGGTATCTGAAACTAAGATTATCAGTTGAGTAAGGTGCAACAAACATTTTGTGACCAGGTTTTAATGTTCAACTTGTGTTGTTGTCATGGGCAACTAGCTCTGTTTCGAGTGGCAACTTGTTGGCCTTTGACATCATTGGCAGCAAAACCCGTAAAATTGCAGGGAACAATATTGTTACCATTGGAAAGGAGGAAAGTTGGCCATGTCAACGCCGTAATTTTAAGTCCAAACCTTTGTCACCAAAGCTCTGTTGTGCCCTATTCAACTAATAATCATGATAGTACCTGCTGTTCACAGATCAGTTGTCATGGATACCAAGCCTTATATTTAGTAGCAATTTTTGTTATATAACCTTGTTGTCCAAGTGATTTCACAAGTCTCTTCTCTGAGCTTATCTCTAAGTGTTGAGTTTGAGGTGAAAATAATAATAATATTAATAATTACAGCAATTTTTTTTAACACATTATCGTACCTCCACCCTTGAAAACATAACTCCTGTTTCCTCTCTGCCAGTCATTCTGTTCAAACCCAATTAGGGTGGTGTCTGCTCGTACACTTCCACCTGTAATAAAAAGAGCCACAGACAATCAGGATGTACTAGCCTGATAGTCATTTTTACTAGCCCCCATAAAATAAAACCCACTAGCACAATTAATTAGTTAAAAAATCAAAATTGAAATTATTAATAATTTCATGTTTATACTGCAGTAATATTGGAATTAGAATTTTCTCAAAATTAATCCCAGAAAACTTCAATTGCCCATCAGACAAGTAAAAGATAGAATCCACTGGCAGGACCACAGCATTCACTTGCCCAAGGCTATCAGACACAACTTTTGGGAGGTTGAGGGTTTGAGCCCCAGACTGGACAAACACTCGGGGTCTTAAAAGAACTGAAGAGAATGTGCTACATGTACATGTACCTTTGTAATTACATCTGCAAATGGTTGGATGTTCTGAAAGTCTTTTTTGGATAAGGACTATGGGCCATAAGCCCTGTCACATCAGTCATGCTTCTTCAGTGTTACATGGTTAGCAGGGGACGTTAAAGAACCCACACACTTATTGCGAAGAGTACTTAGGACATGGAGTTCCTAGTGTTGTATACGGGCCTTGTCTCACAGGTTGGTGCTTCACATGGGGTTAATCTCAATCTCATTGCACCTCTCCCACTTGGACTGAATTGTCCAAGAAAAATAATTTGCTATGTTTATGTCTATGTCTATGCTAACAGTTATTTGACATTTGTGCTATCACAATTAAAATCAGCAAAACTTCTGTACTTCATAGTGTTTCTGATTGGTTTAATCAAACGGGGAAGGGTAGCGTTACATGTTCATCATTAATTACTATGGAAGATTTTGGCTTGAAGGTTTTCTTTTTCACATGTACAAGGGGACTAACTAAATGTGAGATCGTGGGAACTGCTCTGCCTGTTGGACTCTAGACAGCCAGAGTGCTACAAGACTACTGCTGGATCAAGTCAAAGTCACTTTGGGTAAGAAATGTCCTGTAACTCTCACAGTACCTCTACTCATGTTGTACATGTCACTGTTTGGGTAACACAAGGAAATGATTATGAGGGGCGGAGGGTAACCTTCAATAAACTAGCATCACATCCATGTGGAATAACAAGAGTCAGGATCTGTCACTTCATGTAGTTGACAGAAAACAGGATAAGCTGACCAGCAGTGTGCCAGGATCAATTTGCACTGAGCTCTGAGACATGTGCCCTTTGATCAAAGTCATTACTTACCACATTTGTATATTTTATAAGTATCACTTGGACACATCCTTGACATAAATGGCACTATTAAAAAAAGGAGGACTGGAATTAATACAAAAGAAAATGAATGTTGTAGTCTATCTACATTAAGGTCCAAGATCAGAGAAGAGGAGGCATTCTGACAAAGATATTGATATCTCTGGATGGAAGTGACATCTATACAGAAAAAAATAAATCAGGGCTCCAGCTTTCAATGGAGAACGATTTGGAAGAAATCCTCAATTATGCAGTGTAATGGTTAAGCTTTCTTTAGCTATGATAATAAGAAAATATGTTAATATTTGACTTTTTACCCCAACTGGTAAACTCCCACTTCATTTCAACATAAAAATCCGGAGTCTGCAATGTCAAGAAAGAAAACATTTTAGTTAATAACTGATGATGTGATTTTCACTTAAGTGCTGAAAGTAAATTTTATCATATTTGCTTTGGTTTTACATTACTACAGGCTGATTGCAATTGGCTTCATAAGAAATTTGTGTCACTTTGTCATCCAATCAGAAGTTAAACCCAAACCAACCATGACTTGAACTTACAGCATTGAGTTCATCCAAAAGTTCAGGAATTCCAGCAAGCCTTTGACTTCCCCTTTGAAAGTCACGATGTTGAAGCACAAGTGACAATATTTCAGGGTTTCCTGTGCTAATGGCTTCATGTGATACTAAAAGAAAAAAACATTATCTATAGATGTTGAATGTTGAATGTTTATAGTGGTTGATCACTTNTAAATGCTATATTATCAGTGTTAAGCATAGTGGCAACAGCTGGTGTTGTCAGTCTGGCATTGATGGCATCATCTGAGGGTTTCAGACCCTCCAGGTCTCGAAAATCATCTCTGAAACAACAATAACAACAACAACAAAACAATCATGCCATTGTCATGTGGTGATATAAACATTCCAGTCTCTCCTTTTTTTCATAAATAATACGGTAAATCATATGAAAGTAGAAGAAAGCTTAAGTGCCCTAGGAGAAGATCCTTTGTTACCTGCTTTTACTCACTGAAGAGAAAGTCTCTTCTATAGATATGCATACATGTATACCCTGGGCAGAAAAGAATGAAGGAAGTTGCCATCTGCAAAAGTAGCTGAATGCCAACTAAACATTACGAACAATTTTGGAAATCAAACATATAAACAAAATTGATCACAAGTTACTGTAAGTTGGAGGTATGCACTGAACTATTATTACAACGTACCTGATTCGTAGGGTCTCCCTAAAGTATCTCTTTTTATCATGGTCAATCTCTAAAAATTCTCCTCCATCAGCTGAAAACAAATCAACCACAGAAAACAGCAAATTTGGAATGCAGCCTTACATACATGAAACAGATTTTAAAGCCAAATTTTTCTCAAGAAGTCTTAAGGCAGGATTTGCCATAAGAGCTTGAAGTTTCGAAGTTTCGAATTTAAATTTACAAACTTTTCCTAAATGTTTTACCCATGGTTTTTAATAATTCTTCAGGGTCAGGGGTGTCACAAAGTGCAGTGAACTGGTATCTGAAACTAAGATTATCAGTTGAGTAAGGTGCAACAAACATTTTGTGACCAGGTTTTAATGTTCAACTTGTGTTGTTGTCATGGGCAACTAGCTCTGTTTCGAGTGGCAACTTGTTGGCCTTTGACATCATTGGCAGCAAAACCCGTAAAATTGCAGGGAACAATATTGTTACCATTGGAAAGGAGGAAAGTTGGCCATGTCAACGCCGTAATTTTAAGTCCAAACCTTTGTCACCAAAGCTCTGTTGTGCCCTACTCAACTAATAATCATGATAGTACCTGCTGTTCACAGATCAGTTGTCATGGATACCAAGCCTTATATTTAGTAGCAATTTTTGTTATATAACCTTGTTGTCCAAGTGATTTCACAAGTCTCTTCTCTGAGCTTATCTCTAAGTGTTGAGTTTGAGGTGAAAATAATAATAATATTAATAATTACAGCAATTTTTTTTAACACATTATCGTACCTCCACCCTTGAAAACATAACTCCTGTTTCCTCTCTGCCAGTCATTCTGTTCAAACCCAATTAGGGTGGTGTCTGCTCGTACACTTCCACCTGTAATAAAAAGAGCCACAGACAATCAGGATGTACTAGCCTGATAGTCATTTTTACTAGCCCCCATAAAATAAAACCCACTAGCACAATTAATTAGTTAAAAAATCAAAATTGAAATTATTAATAATTTCATGTTTATACTGCAGTAATATTGGAATTAGAATTTTCTCAAAATTAATCCCAGAAAACTTCAATTGCCCATCAGACAAGTAAGAGATAGAATCCACTGGCAGGACCACAGCGTTCACTTGCCCTAGGCTATCAGACACAACTTTTGGGAGGTTGAGGGTTTGAGCCCCAGACTGGACAAACACTCGGGGTCTTAAAAGAACTGAAGAGAATGTGCTACATGTACATGTACCTTTGTAATTACATCTGCAAATGGTTGGATGTTCTGAAAGTCTTTTTTGGATAAGGACTATGGGCCATAAGCCCTGTCACATCAGTCATGCTTCTTCAGTGTTACATGGTTAGCAGGGGACGTTAAAGAACCCACACACTTATTGCGAAGAGTACTTAGGACATGGAGTTCCTAGTGTTGTATACGGGCCTTGTCTCACAGGTTGGTGCTTCACATGGGGTTAATCTCAATCTCATTGCACCTCTCCCACTTGGACTGAATTGTCCAAGAAAAATAATTTGCTATGTTTATGTCTATGTCTATGCTAACAGTTATTTGACATTTGTGCTATCACAATTAAAATCAGCAAAACTTCTGTACTTCATAGTGTTTCTGATTGGTTTAATCAAACGGGGAAGGGTAGCGTTACATGTTCATCATTAATTACTATGGAAGATTTTGGCTTGAAGGTTTTCTTTTTCACATGTACAAGGGGACTAACTAAATGTGAGATCGTGGGAACTGCTCTGCCTGTTGGACTCTAGACAGCCAGAGTGCTACAAGACTACTGCTGGATCAAGTCAAAGTCACTTTGGGTAAGAAATGTCCTGTAACTCTCACAGTACCTCTACTCATGTTGTACATGTCACTGTTTGGGTAACACAAGGAAATGATTATGAGGGGCGGAGGGTAACCTTCAATAAACTAGCATCACATCCATGTGGAATAACAAGAGTCAGGATCTGTCACTTCATGTAGTTGACAGAAAACAGGATAAGCTGACCAGCAGTGTGCCAGGATCAATTTGCACTGAGCTCTGAGACATGTGCCCTTTGATCAAAGTCATTACTTACCACATTTGTATATTTTATAAGTATCACTTGGACACATCCTTGACATAAATGGCACTATTAAAAAAAGGAGGACTGGAATTAATACAAAAGAAAATGAATGTTGTAGTCTATCTACATTAAGGTCCAAGATCAGAGAAGAGGAGGCATTCTGACAAAGATATTGATATCTCTGGATGGAAGTGACATCTATACAGAAAAAAATAAATCAGGGCTCCAGCTTTCAATGGAGAACGATTTGGAAGAAATCCTCAATTATGCAGTGTAATGGTTAAGCTTTCTTTAGCTATGATAATAAGAAAATATGTTAATATTTGACTTTTTACCCCAACTGGTAAACTCCCACTTCATTTCAACATAAAAATCCGGAGTCTGCAATGTCAAGAAAGAAAACATTTTAGTTAATAACTGATGATGTGATTTTCACTTAAGTGCTGAAAGTAAATTTTATCATATTTGCTTTGGTTTTACATTACTACAGGCTGATTGCAATTGGCTTCATAAGAAATTTGTGTCACTTTGTCATCCAATCAGAAGTTAAACCCAAACCAACCATGACTTGAACTTACAGCATTGAGTTCATCCAAAAGTTCAGGAATTCCAGCAAGCCTTTGACTTCCCCTTTGAAAGTCACGATGTTGAAGCACAAGTGACAATATTTCAGGGTTTCCTGTGCTAATGGCTTCATGTGATACTAAAAGAAAAAAACATTATCTATAGATGTTGAATGTTGAATGTTTATAGTGGTTGATCACTTAGCTACAACTAGCTAGTTTGCTGGCATGCATGCCACTTAAACTGAAAGAAATAAATATTGCAAAATATAAACATAACAGGCTTAAAAATTCTAACTGGTGGGAGGCAGACTAGCTGGCTATTTACAAGCATGTCCAAGGAGTTGAACTGGGTCTACCAAGAAACAACTTTAGCTTAGTGGTCTGAGCGGTACTCTGGATTTCAAGTCTGGCACCCTAACCACTCAGCCATGCTGCCTCCAATTTGAAACATGTGAACTTTTAAAGTTGTACCCATCCCCCTTGATCAAAATTGGTGTTCAAATCTCACACCAGATTCATATCAGGCAAGCAAATACCACGAATCATGTGTACTAAAGGCATCCGCAGTTGAGTGTTGATCGATACCCTTGATCGACCCTTGATCAACTCTCGATCAACACTTGATTGACATCTTGATTGATACTCAGCTGACACTAGATAAGCACTTGATCAATAGTCGGCCGAGTATCAGCCGACTCCTATATATTGACTGACACTTGACTGAGATGTGGATCAAGTGTTATTTGAGTGTCAACCAAGGTGTTAATCAGGGGTCGATCAAGGGTATCGATTGAGTATTAATTGACACTTGACTGCCAATGTCTTGAGTACACACGATCCAATACCCCTAGCCCCAAGGAAATACATGGTAAATAGAGTAATGGAAAAGAAAGAAAGAAAGCATCGATTACCTACTTTGATGTTCCACTATGTCACAAATATTACTTTCATGTTATGAAAATATAAAGGGGATTACATTTTCACAAGCAAAACTGTATAATTTACCTTCAAACACAGTATATGATAGCTTTGAATACTCTTCTTTTAAAGTCAAAACATTACAGACGATCAAGGTGGTCCTTATAGGTCTTCTTGACTATGATTTTGAGGTAACTTGTTTAAATTCCCCAGCCCCTCCCTTAAAGTGTCAAATTCCCCATGCTGAACCATACCAACCTCTTTCTTCCCATACATCTCAGCATATCAACAAGTTGAACGTCAGGGGAGGGGAAATGCTCATGTCTCTATACATTGCATTGTCAAAAGTATATAATTATGTACAACAATTTCCCCATTGGAAGCTACCTAAAGTATAAAAACCTTCTTAGAAACACTACAGTGACTTAACCCTTCTTCCTGGATACTGTGCTCTAGGTACACTTCTTCCTTGCTTTTTCGCCCCAACCAGATATAAGTTCTTTTATTTTCAAATCAAAATGATCAATGAACAGGGAGAAGGGGTGACCATTTTTCATTTTCATAAGTTTATTCTGCATTTAACAAGCAAATATCTAATTACGCTTAAAATGTCCTGTCAACAAAACCAATGTAGCACAATGATAAATTTGTCATTCTTAGCTTGTCCTCGCTCAAAATCGAGGTAATATTAAAACATTCTTTAGTTCAGTATCTGTTATTTTTAATGAAAACGTACACATTATTAAAAATTACTACTTGAGATTTCGAGGTAAATTTTCTAAGCTGGTGTATAAACCCGTGAGGCCTGGAGACCAACAAAAACTTTCCAACGCCCGTGCACCTTTTAACATCTTTTTAATTTCCTACCATTCCAGCCGTCCTTGTTGATCGCATTAGCGTCACAGCCACCGCGAAGAAGACACTTTACACAATCCACATAACCCAAAGAAACCGCCAGATGAAGTGGTGTCCGCCCGCGAGGATCCAAAAGCTCTTTATCGTGCTACAAATAAACCACAAACAGACGGAAAAAACTGTTGATCGTGCTGCATAAAACATGTCTCCTGTTTTCTCGGCTTGCGGTGAAAACCAAATGTACAAAACATGCTCGAACACATACCTTGTTCAATGCAAGTTCCTCTTCGAGCGAGGAAGAGTCTTTATGCCAGACGTGCCAGTGCAATGGGAAATCTGAAAGGATTTTATCTCTTGAAATTCCGGGAGGGGAAGCGCACAAAATGTCCTTCCCTCCACTGGCCGCCATTTTCGGGCTGTTGTCATTTTTTGCACATCCGCTGAACACAATTTGCCACCCAACTGACTCAGTCCTACCACAGGTAGCCCAAGTTCCGATGCGGTTTGTAAGGGTGAAAAACATGGAGGAGCATTGAATAAAACTAGTCTTAACTCGCTTCAGGAGTGTGTTTCTTTGTTTGATGTGGGGTCTCTAGCGTCTCTGGGTCGATATATCGATTTTATGGCCACTGAGGGGATTTTAAACTTCACTGCTTTTTCCTCCAAGGAAACACACGCCTGAAGCGAGGTAGGCTATTTTTACTCAATACTCGTTAAATGCTTTTTAGGCTTAAGAATAGAACTATTTTCCGCTGCACACTGGCTGCAAATCGTTAATATTTTCGGGCTTTTGAAACTTGGATTTATAATTTATGAGATTTTAGCTTTTTGCGGCTCAAAAGGTGCAATACTGATTAACTCTACAAAGCTTCAAAATTTTTGGGAGGCAAAAGCACTAACCAGCCCACACATTCTTTGCAAAAAGGTTTAGGTCTGGAGTTTAGTAAAGTGAGGAGTTTTTAACCAAGCGTCACACAAAGTGCTTGATTCGTTTGGGGCGCTTTATCGTGCCGTGCCCTTTCGATATTCAGAGTTTGAACACTTGTAGCTCGGTCATAGACTGAAACTCCTACGCAACAAGTTTATTGCAAGTGAAAATATGAAAGATCACATATTTGAACTGCGGAGAAAGATATAGAGACATCAATGATCATCGCAGTTAAACACACAACTTAAGCAGCTGTGAAATTGGAATCCCGTTCAGGCCGGTATTTTTTTCGGGCTTTAATCTCACAGCTGCTTAAGTTGTGCATATAACTGCGATGATCAATCATGTCTTCATATCTTTCTCCACAGTTGAAATATATGATCTGTCATATATTCACTTGCATTCTTTACATTCTACGGTAATTACGAACTCACAACACGGCCAGCTCCCAGTTGGCTTGATAACTCAGTTGGTAGAGCACTGCACCGGTATCGCAGAGGTCATGAGTTCAGATCCCGTTCAAACCTGAATTTTCTTCAGGCTTTAATTTCACAACTGCTAAAGTGTGTGTATAACTTCGATGATCATTGATGTTTTCAAGGTAAACATTGTAAACACACATTCCGCTAATACTTAAGACACAAGGAGCTACACTAGAAGTGAGGGAGAGCGTTCTCTTTTTGTCGATTTTATTTCATCACTGCTATTTGAAGATCACTTTATAGGCATTGTAGGATTAGGAATTCAAAGACCAGAGCCTGAAACAACAAGTTTTTCAACAATTAAGCTTATTTTGTAAGAATCGTCGTTATTTTTACATCGATATATGTGAATTACGGTCAATTATTTGGGATTATGTATGATTAATAATATAATTTGTATAATATGGTACATGTTTATGAGTATATCAATAATCTATTCGATTGTAAAAAAAAAAAAAAAAAAAATAGGGCACATTTCTTTGAAAAAGTGTTGCTCCAATAGACCTTTTTGGCTTGGGCGGTTTGTTTTCTCATTACAGACCACGTGATATTCTCTACAGAATTGTCCTTTTATCCGTCTAAAATATATTTATTCATATGCACGTGACTATTTGAAAATTTGAAAGGAAGAATTCTCAAGAGTATCATCACATGGTCTGACATGCGGCAAGAAACCGCCCAAATGAAAAAGGTCTATTATATTATCTACTTAACGCGCCTCTCGCCAGCATGGTTGCTTAGTGACGATTCTTTATGACGTGTTCTTTATGAAGTACTCGTGCTGTATTTTGATTGGTCAGAATTAGTCGACAGCAGTTGTTCCTTCGATAGTGCATCTGAGTTTCATCTAGCCATGAAAAATGTTTTCTTTACATGTTTCGTTCACTCTGATTTGGCTAGACAGAAACGCCCACGTTTTACCCGAGCAACTGAAAAGGCTATCAGATGAAAATTTTCCTCTTTTACACGCTTCATTTTACAGTCTAGCTGTTTGTGTGTGAAAAAAAAAAAAAAAAAAAAAATTGTTGCTATTCAGTTTTTATCAAGCCTCGCTTGCGTTATGTTAAGGCTTTTCTCAAACGTTTTGCTTACAACAAATAAACTACCGTTTGTTCCACCCTATAACGCATGCTTAGAAGCAAGCTCGAAGCTTCGCTAACGGATACCCTTCCCAGTTACATACAAACAGTACGGTTACAACCTCTCATAAGCGGACACTTCTCTTGAGAGGACACCACAGTAGACTTAGAAGTCAGAAAATCTGTTTCATTGCTTCGAGATTCTCTCGAAGTGGCTGCCGAGAAAACCATGCCAAATACACAAGAGCTCAGGCAATTACGACGAAATCACCACGCATTCTTTTAGCGATTGGACAAGAGAACAGCTGATTTTACTCCCAATGTTTCGCGCACGCCCTCGCATGTCTCTCCCCCACGAAGATGACGCGCGCGAGAGAGAGAAACGCGAGACAGACAAATATGTAAGTTCCGTCTAAAACGGAGAATCACTTCGTATCATAATCCAGCTAGTTAGCATTATATAATTTTAAAACACTTTATCTAGTGAACAAATACTAGAAATCTGATTTCTTCCTCCGAAGCGAAAGAAAGCAATTGCAGAGATAAGATCATATTTTTTTTGCTTACACTGAAGTTTAAAAATATTTAACGAGAGGTTCTGCAATGTTTAAAATACGCAAAAGATTTCTCTACACGTAGCCTTAAGACGTAGTATCTGTTGATCTTAGCTCTGTAAGATGCTTACTTACTTCGAAGATAATTTCCATAATATTCATAATTTATTTCACGATGTTAACCCTAGTATCTTTTACCCTTTCATTCGCAAAGTCAAACCTCATCAACGGTTTCAAGTATTTAGAGGAAACCCTAGAGTGACTATTCAAATGCAAACTATTGTGCAGTGCTTTCATGAGGTGCTGTTTAAAGTAGTTCTAACTTCTAAATTTGTGGATGAAACTCTAGTGTGTGGCCATTCAAATGAAAGCTACTGAGCAGTACTTTCACGTGGTACTGTTTATTATGCTGTACAACGTTGTTCTAACTTTTAAGTATGTGGATGAAATGTCACAATTTAAACGAAAGCAAACGAATACTAGTTTTAAACGGAGCTATTTATGAAACCATAGAAGGCGGTTCTTTGCGGTAAATTGACTTGCGGCCTATTCAGTGTTGATTTTGAGAATGAAAGGGAATGCTAGATTTTTCTATCTACGGACCCCACGCTGCATTCAGTGGTTAGTCAGAGATATTCTAATCAACTGAAAACGTCGTCACCAGTTGCTTAGCAGCTTTAGCGATGTCATAAGCACATTGAATGACCTGCTGAGTGAGAAATGCCATGTCTACAGTGTTGCCAGGCAACACAGCACTCTTACACTCCACTTGTAGTCTGGCGGCGCTACTCTTCATCAGCTGGAGTGACACACGCATGCTGTCCACATCCGGGTCCTGTAAAACAATGACGTATAAGACAATAAGTACGGTCACTGAGTGCAGTCAGTGAAAAGACTAAGCCAGCGGTTTCCAGCAACCCAAATGAGCAAAGTTAAAATCTTACCTCCGGAAATAAACTTGCCATGTCGTTAACAGCAGTGAAAATATTACTTGAACAGGGAATGAAACTGAAAAAAAGAGCATAGTCACGTGAACTAAATTTAAGATGGTTCAAGTACACTGCATTCGAGTTGTACCAACAAATATCTAACACGAATATGTTGTGTAGCAGTCTACAGATGTAGCGTGAAATTAGTTATCGGAGGAATATCGATACACACTTAATACACTTCATTTATTTATTTATTTATTAATTTATGAACAGTATTTCAACTGTAACACTTACAGTAAACCTAGAGAAGATACCTTAAGTGTTTTTCTTTTAAAGCCATGCTGAATTCATTGTACTTAAACGGGATTTCACGCAATAAAGGTCAGTTTGGTTTCAAAAGCAAGAATGACTTTGAGAATGACTAAATTCTCTGAACCATTTTATGGAAAATTCAAAAAGGCAAACTTTGAGAGTTTGATACCGAAACATTTTAAGGAAGCAACTAATTGTTAGACCACATTCTCCTAAATTAAACAACAGAAGATGTGAGAAAAAGTCTAGGGAGAATTGAGCTGCTTACCAGCTGTGTCTTCCAGCCTGTGCTGACAGTAACAGCTCTTGAATTTTTTTGGTGATCTGTTCGGTACACCGCACCACATCTTCTTGTGACGGCTGCTGTCTGGCGTCTTTAGTGGCTTCGTGAACTAGATCATCAACGGCATGTATTAGTTTCTCCGCCTCCCTGTCAAGCTGTTCATCGAATGGACTATCGGCTAGAAAAAGAACACCAAAAAAATGATTTTATGTAGACCAACGATATTTAAAGTTGCCATTTATCAAGTCAGTCAACTCAAGAAGTTAAAACCATTTTAGTTTAAATCTACTAGCGTTCTATCACGAATGCCGTTCTCTGATTGGCTATGCTACTCACTATCTATTCTGTTGTAGCAGAAGCATATCATGCGCTTGTTAAAAAACTGGCGGCCGCTTCTCCGCATTTTCGAGGTATCTGTGAAGTCGATTCAGATGAAGTGTTGAGCGACTAGTAGATTCATACTAAAACAATTAGATTATTCGTTTTCGATTTTTCAGCGTAAAAATTGACGAGGGCGCATCACGCGGTAGACATCGAGAGCCAACAATCTAATTGTTACATGGACTGCAATACAGGAAATTCTTTGTTGCTTTTGTTCCCTGTCAACATGTTGAGGTTTTTATTTGCGGCAATACGTACTACGTCCACAGATCGGGAAATAACTACTTATTTTGTCTTGCTACAACACGGAAATGTAGTTCTAAAATTATTGATAAAACCGCAAAGCAACCACCCCCTAATGACCAGAAAAAGCGGCCATTTTGGAGGTGTTCGCTTAAGGAGGTTAAAAATGGACTGCTTGAATATAGCCAAGGACCGTGACTAAGTGTCCGCTTAGGGCGGGGCGGGGGGGGGCACCTACAGACAGAAGTTCGATTGTGCTTCTCAGAATTAATTATTAACAAATTAATATCTTTCTTACACCGTGACAAGAAGAAAATACTCACAAGAGCTCATTCTTTCGTGTTCTCTCATCTCCTCAACGTTCAGATATCTGCGTTCCTCGTCAGGTTCGTCTGGAGAGTCAGTCACATTGTCATAAGGATTGACGGATTTAGTTCTACTCACATCTCCCGTGCGAGTCTGCCCCGGGGTGGTGGGTTGAGTTGGGCGATTTAGGATAGAACCTGGGGCAGCGTATGGCTCAATGTCTTCGATCTCCACAAGATCATCCTCATCACTCGCGTCCGGATATGCCTGAGATAACGAAAAGATGTAAACTGTGAAAAAATTCTAAACCTTCCTTCCGCAACCCCACGTCCCGTCCCACCCGCGCGTTCAAAGCAAAGACGAAGCGGTTTAAAATTGCCGTTAAAATTCAAGACATAACGTCATTTTGTCACAAGAGCTCGAAGCGCGCAAGCTGCTTTAAGCGCGGGAAAAACAAGTAGCAAGAATCAAGCTGGAGAAGACGCGCGAAAGCCAATTAGTACTGATTGGTTGAGATAACGCATGTTTTCCCTGATTGGATTAGGCATCTATGACGGTTTTTAACAAGCTAACAAACAAAACAGAGGCTAAGCGAAGCAAAACCAAACTGAATACCATTATTTATTTTGATATAGACTGCTGTTTAAAAATGGCGCAAATGGCAACAGAAAGAATTGTTAAGTGGCGGGGAAATGGCCGGTTGCAAGATTTGTTTACAATCGTGAAGTCTCCTTCCCATTGTCGCAAAGAAGTTAGTGTTACTCACCGGAGGAGAAAATACGTTATCGTCGCTGCCATTAAGAATTCCTAACTGACTTCTTAAGGCTTTGTTTTCATCTTCTAGCTTGTGAACCTGACAACAACAGAAACGACTTTGTTAGTAGAAACAGGCATCGGAGGCATCGAAGGGGAGCGGAAGCGTGCAATGAAAGCAGTATAAGGCAAAAAAAAAAGCAAAAAAAAAAAACAACAACAACAACAAAAACAAAAAAAACCCAGACATTTGATTGCACAAATACCCATTCAATTTTTTTTAGCATGCAGCGCCAAGTGCCCCCAAAAGTACACAAGTCATGTCAGAATGGTTTTGGTGCTTCGTCAACCCACCCTTCTGTCTTTCGCTATGCTCGACAAGACCCCTCTACCGAATTGTTGCATACTTTAGTTCAATCAGCAAAATTCATTTCATCTTGCTTTGATCTACGCAATATCCTTCTTTCAAATCAACCCATTGTAACTTGATTGCTATATCATAACCTTATTATATATTCACGATAATCATTACTGTTTTGTTCTAGAGTTTACAAAAGCTCTTGTAACAGTGTATGTATTTGTGATCATGCAAATAAAGCTAGTTGTTGTTCTTCAGTTATAAAGTCAGAACTCCTCACCGTTGCCTGAAGATTTTGAATTTCATGGCTTTGATTTGCGTTCACTTGTAGGAGCTGCTGAACACGAGCCTGAAAAAGCAACGATTTGAAATAAAAGTTCTACCCATTGGCAAGGTTTTTTTTTACGATTAGTAATCAAATTCAATTATCTGTTTTGCCGCACATTTCAGTTAATTCATTTGCAAAGTACATGCACACTGGTGCGTCAAGTAATTCGCCTTCTTATTCACATTTGCCTTGTCCTTATGCGAGTGTTAACGTGAATCAACCAAGTTCAAAAAAGTCAACGCGTGTGGAGGCGCTATAAGGGCAGTGTATGACATTTGCAGACAGGAGACTGCAGACATTTGGGCCAAAATAGCGTTCTGGTTAGCCTGAATATCGCTCAGCTTTGCTTAAATAGCGCTCAGGTTAGCCTTTTTACGGTTAGCTCTCGGTAATGGAAATGGCAATACTTGAGAATACGATGAGTTAAAAAGTCTGCATTCTGCGGCCTGCAAATGTCTTACACCGCTATAAGGGGTTTTCGGCGTACGGGATATTTAGGTATAAAATTAACGGGTTGCAGGATATTTTTAGGGGGAAATTAATGGGATGTGGGATATTTTCATCATATAAAACGGGATTTAGAATGAGGAAAATCGTTAATTCTTGCAACTGGAATCAACGGGATGCAGAATATTTAGGCCAAACACTAACGAGATGCGGGACACTCAGAGCCCCTAATGGGGCCTCTACGAGAATCCCCAAGTTAAGGCCTTGTAAACTTGTACAAATCAACAGGGCTCTGAGTACTGTATTATCATCGAACCTGTACGGTCCAGCTGTTCCAATACAGATTGAAACTAACCACACTGACTTTAATTGATCAGCTACAACTGCAATCTAGAAATGGAACTCTCTCTTTCTCATAACTTCAGACTACGCATTTGACCTTAATTTTATTAGTACATTCTTCTAACACAGTTTCCCCGATTATGTTGTCAAGTTTAAGTACACTTGCCTACTTACATTAGCTGTAGATAAAGCACTCTCAACTGCTACATAACGCTCCATAGGCACAGAGTCTTCTGCCAGGAAGCTTGTAGTTGTTCCCTGTAGACAGCAATAAATGCATATTGGAGCGGTTTTCAATGAGTTAAAAAAAAACAACAACAACAACAGACAATACAGTGAACCAATCAAAATTTGAAGTAAATAAATGTAGCTGTACTATTGCAAAACCTTCAAATGACACTCTAGTGGAAATCGCTCTAAACTAAAACTGGTCATTAGAACTCGTTAGCATAACCCTGTCTCCATGAAGATCTCTCAGTATCACTGCTGTCTGTTAGCCTGCACACAAACCATTCTAGCAGATGAAGCCTAAATGTAGCAAATATGGTAGCAGCAGTATTTACACAGACTGCCTACAGTGTTGCTGTTAAAAGTCTTGAAACAAAGGAACATTTGAAGTGTTCACCTTTTCAATCTGCACTTTTGTAGTCATTTCTGATGGGTTCTGAAATCACAAGAATGTGACATTTTGTAACAAGATAAAACAAACCATTATGATATCAACATTAGTAATTAAAAACACTTTAACTGAGGACTTTAACTGAGGACTTGAATCAAGCTCTACAACTGAGAGAACCAGAGTGAAGCGGCTTGGATAGAATGCTAGTCCAACACAGGGTTATCCCTCAACATTAAGTTTGCCAGTACCCATGTACACACCTGGGTGGACAGAGGCACTATGGGAGTTAAGTGTCTTGCCCAAGAACACAACACAATGACCCCGGCCAGGGCTCGAGCCTGGACCACTCGATCTGGAGGTGAGTGCACCAAACATGAGGCCACCACCCCTCCATGATGTACTTAATGATGTGATAGAAATAATGATATGACCCCAGACAGTTTCCTCACCTCTGGAGTGGACTCTTTATCAACTGCCTCCTCATCTGAAGGTACTTCATCATACTCGTGATCGTAAGCATCTTCTTCGATCGGAAAAATATGCGACTCAACAAAACCTGGCCAAGATAAACATGGCAAGAAAGAGAAGAGTTAATACTATACCAAAACTAAGTTTCTTAATACAGGTAGTGCGAATTTATACTTTAATAATATTAATGCTGTTTTGGGAGATGAGCAAATGTTTACAGCAAATGTGGTAAAAAGAGTTACCAGGAATTAGGGGGCTAAAACATGTTTCAGGGAAATATAAGATAGCAAATTAGCACACTGCAAAAGGTATTGGAAAGGGTTGTGATTAAGGGCCGTAACCCATAACACCTGTAACAGCTGAGTGTGATAGGCCCTCGATGTTACAGGGAAATTGCCTTTGTTGATTTAATTCACCCTCAAGATAACAAGTTTGCTACGGATGCATGTGAAGGTCAAGATGACAGGTAAATCATAACTTAATGAGAACCATGTTGGAAGCATTGCATATAATTTTCCAAAAGTTGGAAGAATGCTCACAAATTTTGGGATGACCTTTAGAAGTACATTGAATACTGCTCAAAATATTTACTAAATGTTACCATTGAACTAAAAAAAGAGTTTCAAAAGACACAATGGCTAAATAATAAAATGTTTTTGTGACACCTATAAATACCTTGTGTGAGGTCAGGATTAGAGTCCTGTTCCCGTCGTCTTGCATCATTCAATATATCAATGATTAATGTTGCAAATTCCTTGGCATTAAATAGTGCCAACTTCTGTCTTCCCTGTAAAACAAACCATGAAATAAAGAGCTTCATACTCAGCTTCTGTAAACTTTCAACAACATCGTTATGCAATATGATAGCAATAATAATTGTAATTGCAAAAATGTCTTCATTTTACTGTTTGCAGCTCACCTGATTTCTTGTTGAAGAGAATGATGGATTCACAGGAAGGAATGGTACTGTTGTGGTATCACTAACAAGAGCACTGTGATTCTGAGTAGCCAGCCAAACTGATGATGAATGCACAGAAATAAAGGATATTAGAGGGCCATGCAAAGACACAAAACTTTTCTTTGAGTGTTAAAAAATATTTCACAAGTGAGCGCAGTGAACAAGTGAAATATTTTGCGACATGAGAAGAGAAATTTCATACCTCCAAGCCATGTAATGTTTGTGCAAAGTGATACACAGTGAGAGAGAGACCAGCCCAGTTTTGGCTATGTCAACACGTATCAAGCTGTTCTCTCTTCACGCAAAAATAGAAATAAAAATTTAGTGGAATAAATGAATACAGTAATATACTTATGCCCAGCGTAACCAAGGTAAGAGGCAGCCCTACTAGCTTTCACCACTATTAAAATAAGTGATGCTATACATGTAACAGGGGTAATAGCCTACCAGATTTAACCAGTAGTTAAATAAGTGATGTTATACCAGGAGTAATAATTGAAAGCAATACCTGCATCACACTCTCTTCTATCTACTTCATCATACACGTCAGAAGCCAGCTCTTCAAACAAATGGTGGCTCAACTGTTGAGGAACAAACAATAACCAACTACAACATAAATCGATACATTGTCAAGACACAGGGAACAATGCAAAAAAAGAACTGCTGCAATCAAGTTTAAGTTAGGTGCAATAATTATAAACTGACAACAACTTACAGCTTGTAGTTTCAATTTCGCTTTGTTAGCATCATCAGATAAATCCAAACGGCTGTTAAGAGATTTGAAGTAAAATAGTAAGAATAAATTCACTTACTGGTTCACTTACAGCTACATGCTAGACATGTAACCCATGCGAGGCACAACCCCAGACTAAGTAAAATCCAATAGAAACCTGACTACTGTAGTTGAAATTCTGGTTAGTTAAAATTGTCTTAGCCAGTTAAATCTGACATGCCATTAGCCAGTTGTAAGTCTTGAGCCCTGTGAAACAAAGTTTATTATTTTATAAAAAGTAAATCAAGATTTAGTGTTACTTTTGATTTTGAACTATATTCAAACTGACAATTTAAGTTCACATTTTCAGAAGAGGAATGCCATAATAATTATTACTGGAACTCAATGGGATTTGGAAAAGAGCAATACCTATCCGCCATGGTTGGTATGAGATAGTGCACACCATTTTGATGATCTGAAAGTACAAAAAATATATATCTGTTCATTGGCTCTTGTTACTTTATAAAAATAGCTACTGACATGTATTACCATATTTTTTTTTCTCAATTTGTGTGTGAGCTATAATCCAGGGCAGTCATAAAGTTTTGATTCACATCTAGCTGTGATTTCTACATCTGCGACAAATTTGTCACTTATGGGTTCACAAATTAATATTGTATCAGCTACAGGCAAGTTCACCTGTAACATCAAGGACTCATCAAGCATGCTCAGCAGTAACAGGTGCTACAGGTTACGGCCCTTATTAAATGACAGCCCTGTGTAAGGAGTTTGACCACTACATTTACTGAAACAGAAACAAACAACTGATTACCAGGTCTTCTGCCACACAAATAATATGTGAGTCTGTCTGTAAGTTCAAACTGAACTTCGATGAGTCGTTGTGCAATATTGGGGAAGCCAGCTTCCCTGCAAAGCAAACAAGCAGCAAATGGTCATAAAATAAATTTAAAGAAATGCACTGTATATCTATCTTATCAAACAAATTGAGATTAATCAAACCTTTCTAAAGAAAAATTATATTTTGAAAAATGCATTTTACATTTCCACCTGCAGCTTTGCTTCATGTGGAATCATCATCATCACAAGCTGATTAGAATGAATGAATTACATTAAGTGAGAACATGCAAGTCCAGAGAATATTTCCCCAGACCGTAACCTAGTGCAACAGTAAATTTACCAATGTATGCACTGTTGGTACAAAACTATCACAAAATTACAAGACAGTATGTTATTTTGCACACCTCTGAAAGCCAATTACATGTACCTAATTGAATGTTCACATTTTTTACCATCCTTGACCAAGATGTGCAACACTTACAGGGCATAGTCTACTGGTGTCTTTCCATTAATATCTGGTTTAGTGGGATCAGCGCCATGCACAATAAGGAGTTCAACTTGAAGAGCTTGTCCAGCATTAGCAGCAACATGAAGTGGGGTGTTACTTCTATCCTGGGGAGACAAGGACGTGTAAGTTGAAGTTAAGGTTGTTGACTCAGTTGTTCAAATCCTGCTGGCTTAAAAACTTGCGCTGACTTCAGAACATACCATAAAGTAACCAGGAGTCTTTTTCTGTATACATCACTAACAAAAAATTGCTGAGTATTTTAATTTCGAATGCAAAAAGTATCTGAAACATAACTTTTTGAAATTTTAAAGCATCCACAGTTTTAAGTATCCAAAATATTTACAGTACAGAATAAAATTTTTAAGCAGCTCAAAACTTTTAGTTTACTTTATGGAGAGAACTCTACTTGAGACACTACTTGAGATACGTAACAGATTTGACATGATAGAATTCGTCTCATTTTCTCATCAGTGTATCTGTAGCGATGTTGTTTCAGTCTGATTTGTGCTTTGTTGGCGCGAATTTACTTGAGGTACATTTCTGTTCAACAAAGTTGAAATTTTTGTCTGAAATTTGCCTGAAATGAGATAAAAAGTGTCAAAAATTAAAGGTCCTAAATATAATGTCTGAAATTTGTTGCCAGCAATGTAACTTTTTTTAGCTAGCTAAAGATTACTCCACCCTCTCTCCTTCCTCATCCCTCTCTCCTCTCCTCCAGGTACTTACTGGATGAAAGTAGTTTGCACGAGCACCTAGAGAGAGTAACCTCAAACATGTCTCTAGATTTCCAGTTCTTACACTCGAGTGAAGTTGCTGCAAAAAGAGCAGTAGCATGTATTCATAATCTGTATTTACCATGACAGTTTAGAATGATAGTCCAAGACAAACTACTGACATGCCTTATTTACAGTTGGCATACATGGATTTAATTAAGATATAGAACAGACAACAACAAATGGCTGATCAAGCTCAGTCAGGTTAATTCTTACTTACCTTACCTTACCACTTACTCAGGATATTTTTACAGACGGAAAAATAATTATTCTTTTACATATTCTTTCAAATGGCCAGGATCATAAAATTTGACTTTGACACTTTTTAATAAATTAAGTGATTCATTTGTTAATAATTATTATTTTTACTCATCTCACTTAGTATGTTACCTGACTGAGGTCAGAAACAGTGATAGTATCATCGTCCTTACAGGGAAGACGGGGAACAAATGCAAGCCTCTGGTACTTGGCTTTAATAAATGTTGATTTTGTTGGACTGCAATGAGGAGAGGCAGCATTATATTAAAAAAACTATTTTTTCTCACACTGGCCTTTATGTATTTCTTAGGGTACTAGATAGCGCACTTACTGTATGTAGAGCGGGAGTATCCTGTGAAAACTATTTCGATTTTTTGTTCTGTTATTCTTTTGTCACATGCACAGCTTGAATATGTAATGACTATGTGGTACCATGAAATGTCCATAAATGAGTTTTGTCTTGCAGCATAAATCCCAGTCTTTGATGACTTGATCCATGGATAGAAGCTCTAGTTATTTCAAAACAAGTACTTGTAGATAAACATCAAAACATGCTTTGACAGGCTTCACATTAACCACGCTTCCAAGGAATTGAACACCTCTTGCAAATTTCTGTCTTAGACCTGCCCCCACCNCATCTTAGATTTTCCAGTGACTCTAGGAGGGGATAGTATGGACATTTTCTCCAACCACTCAATGTGGATAATTTTATTGTCTAAACAAAGGATTATTAGGATTCAGAGGAATACATGAGATCTTCATTATTTTTTCCACATTCTCTCAACCCTCCCTTTGATAAATAGACTCATCCTGCAAGCAAAGTCTAAAAGGAGCCATGTTTCAGCTATTTAACTGAAAACTTTACATATATCAAAAATCCCCTCCATTCCCCATAGTCCTCCTATCCTCTCCCACCTACTCCAGCCCCCCCACCACCTCCCCGCCCCTGGCCCCCTGGTCCCTAACACAAGCTGTCTACTCACTGAACATGGTCTTTTTGGTTAGGTTTCCTTACTCCACTTTTCATTTGATTTGGGTCCAGAAGTGAATGTTCCCATATTGAATTTGCCCCATTTGTTACAAGCTGTCGAACCATCTGGAAAAAAAAAATTCATAAAAAAATTGTATCAATTGATTTGTTCTACATAAATTTCAAAAGAAAAACCTTGCAAATTTCCTTTTTTTTCAGAAAAAAATAAATGCAATGAACTATGGCAATAATTTTGATAATTATATTCACTGACTAGGGTATAAGCTGCTTAGAAAATAAAATTATATTAATATATAAAATTTGGAATTTTGACATTTCATTATTTTACTTGTAGTCAAAAATAACTATTTTTAAAATATGATGGAAATTCATTTAGAAAAAAAATTGGGCTGTGATTTAATTTGATATCATTGACACAGGTTACAATAAAAGGCTTTAGAATATGAATAACAGAGGTAATGCATTACGTAGTTCAAAGGAAATAAATATCATCGTAAAAAAACCTTTTCGAGACAATCTGAGAGAATCCCTTTATGTTTTAATTAAAAATGTAATCTTCAACCTTGTCAGTTTCTGTTCATATTAATTAAAGAAGGCAAAACTAAATGAAAATGAATAAATTCACGGATCATGTTATTACGTTTTGGAAGAGGATTTATTTATCACCTGCGGTCGCTTTCTCCCTGTATTTAGCAAATGGACTCTATGCGGATCTACGTTGTCGATACAAAAATGATTTTCTTTTTAAAATGAGAAACTTGTAAATTAAAAACGTATTCAGCATTACAATCAGTAAAATCTTTCAAGCGATACATAAGAAAACATGTATTGCTCTTTTAAAAAGTTTGACATACTCTAAGCTTCTCGTAATACACAAGTCTATCAAATGTTTGGCTCTGGGTATGAAGATTGAGGATCATAATAATAATATATATAAGCCAACCAAACATGGAAGTCGAAGGATATGGCACGGGCAGTCCATGAATAAAGTTCCAACTCCAAACATAGACTTAAAAGGTATATAATTTGTTTATTTGACGAAGGATTCGTTTTCTCATGAAGTCTTAACACTGACACATGCAACAAACATGGTTTAACAAAGATTTTATCACGAGAATCAGTAACTTCCAAAATATAACAGGACTAACATCATCACGTGAAACAAATAAACCGCAATTCTCTTCAAAATAAACGCTGGCAAACTGTCATAAATTCATTACCAAATGTCTTTTTTACATCGGAAGTCACGAATCAACTTTTGAAGAGCTCGAGCCCATTCGATGCATCGGTACATTTCTTAGTCAACCTAAGATTTCCTCTTCAAAATTTAGGAATTTTCCAAGAAATTATACAAGAAAAGGTGAAACAGTTTTTAAAAGGAGTATAATAAATTTCCATGTGTACAAACCGCTTGTAAGGTCGGACTCCATGAAGAATGCCTCAGGTGTTTCACTTGAGAAATATGTCGACCCAAACTCCGGTGAACGCTACAACATTCGTCGCAAATTAAAACACCACGATTTACAGAAGCCCATTCTGGTCCTGTTTAAAGAGCAGAGTTACGATCAGTCTTTAATCCACGGTATAAGATTTTTCTAAAAGATCCGCGGGTAACATAATAAAGAATTAATTCGAAGTGAGCGCAATTCGCGGGCTTAATTATTCAGTGAGATCGAGCGCATCACACTCACCGGGCGCGCTACAGTCGGCACAAATTTCTGTCGATGGACGTAGCTTCATCCTTGAAGACATATTTCAAGCCATAAAGGTGCTAAAAACTAAGCAACCTTGCCTGCTTGGGACAAATCGAAGCATGAATCTCAACTTCCTCTTTCGTCTTAACTCTTTTTTTGATTCACAAGAAAAAATAATGCCCGCATATTTTTGGTCAGCGTTGAAGGAATCAGTCATGCGTTGTGGATATCGGCTTAGCTCGTTGACAGGTCGGCTTCCGCCCGGGCGAAGTTCTAACGCGCCGAGGAATGTCCGACAACTCGCGTGCTATGTTCAATCAGTAGGTGTGGTTACAGATACGCATTGTTTTTCAACCACAGTCCGGAAAAGAGTCACGCAGTTACTTTCTTTGCTATTTTCTTTTATTTACCGGTAATGTATACATTACTTCTCCTGTAATCATCCCAAGTAAGGGTCAATAAAGATTATTGTTTTGAAAAATTACGTCATCTCGCCCACATGCCAGAGGAATCCCATCTGCTCGCGTTTCAGGAACCACAAAAACACAACACTGCGGTCAGTACCCGGTTCGATGAAAGAAAGTTCGAGAACACGTATGAGGAAAATGGCCACGAGCTCGAGGAGCCCCGGAGAGTTCTCCCATATATAAGCTATATTGGTATGTGCTGCTGTGGAGGGTCTGGTTTTCAGGCAGTTTAGTCTGGGATAGGTCATAGAAATCTGACAGTTTTGGTCTAGAATAAGGTGTAATTTACCGGGAAAGTGCATGGCCAGTGTATGAATAATTTAGTCTAGAACAAGGCTCTTTACTCGCGGTTTCTACTAAAAATTGAAACTTGGAAGTGATTTTGTAACATATTGTCTCTGTTTGTTTGTTTTTTTTTTTACCTAAGGTATGTTGGACTACGATAGTAATGAAGTTTCTGCGCATGAAAAATAGCTAGTCTGGGGTACTAGGATAGGTGTTTTTGGTGCCTAGTGGTCTCACAAAATCAAGGTGATCACAGTCTAGCATGCATGCGGTAAGGGTTTCAGTGTCCAGAGGCACACGCCCACCTCAAGATTTACAGAGTACTTTTCCCGGACGCGAGGACGAGAAAGTTAAGAGAAAAAAGAGTTGCTCGAAGTGACTACCCTGCAAAAAACTGAGCCGGTTAGGCAAAAGGGCCGGGAGCGATGACCTGTATTCGAAGCCTTATGGAGGTCGGGCATTGAAAGAATTGGAGTGTCCCTTTCGATTTTTCTTTGGCTGGTGAATGGAGAGGTCTGCGAGAGGTGGGAAAGGGACGAGTTAGACATGGAGATTGGAGTCACTACCTGTAAATATCTAGAATCTATGGCCATGCTCGAAAATTGAACATCCTGAAGAACACTTCTAGGAACACTTTTAGGGAACTACCTTCGAATATACCATTGTCACTTTCTAAAAGTTTATAGTTTTTGCGAAACGTGCAAAAATAGGAAAGACGAGTTTTGCCTCAGTAATTCAGGGGCGTGACAGGATTTTTCAAGGGGAGGGGGGAGTCACACTGTGTCAAAGTGAGGGTACTCAACAGATTCTCATGTCGTTTTCGCCACCTGTTGTAGGTTGTTTTCTTACAAAAGGCTTACAAAAGGAGGGGGGTCACGGGTACCCCAGGATCCCCCTAGCTACGCCCCTGTAATTATGCGTAATGATGCCAATTTTCATATTAAAATATGAAAATTGGCTAAATTCTACTCACTTGTATTATACACTTTCCAACGTTAGGAAAAGCAAATAACTCTAAATAAGAGTATCACAGTTCTACTTTTTTACCCGTGGCACTGTTGCAAGTTCTGCATATGTTTAAAGGGTTTTAGCGTCTTTTGAAGAAGTGTGATCTCGAGCTTTAACGAGCAGTACGCATAAGTTCCAAAATTGACTATTTTCAGAGGCTTAAAATGCATCTTGGTATGCTCGATATCAAGTCTAAATGAACATAACATTCATTTTTGCAGCAAGTTTTTCAGCTGAGTAATGCGTATAGATGAGTTCTCTTTGGAGGCTGGAATTTGCCAATGGGATAAAAAGATGATCAAAATCCGTTATTTAATCTGGTCTAACATCAATTTTGCGTGGAACTGCGAATTCCAGGGGCCTCTTCGAGTCGCACACCCTAAAAAGATGCGATGTCTTTCGGGGCTGTGCGAGGGGACGAATGAAATTCAGGCTAATTGTTCACGCGCTTGTTTTAAATTAAAATGCATCAGATACTCGTTTCGAGACAAACTGCCTTTTTTTATTGTCAACGAGCAACGTCTGATAACGTGGCTTCTCTTGGGGCGAATTACTGTGCCCACGATCGTCGTTCAAGATCAGTGGCGTTGCCAAGCAACATGCCGTATCAAATCTACCTTCGTCACGTGATTTTACCAGCAGGTGATGCTGCTGTTCTTTTTATATATACGCAGCGGCGGCAAAAACGGCCAACTATGTTCCTATTATACTCCTTTATAAATTTTAATCGCCACTGCTTCTTTCTTTCTCTGCTCTCTGTCGTTATGGGTCACGCGATGTTCCTTCCCAGTGGCGTGACTGGCTGTGTGACACTGATGAACCTTTTCTTGGCCATCCTTTACTAAAGGTAAATCCTATGAAAGTCATTGTTGCCGAACGTAGCGTTACACTTGGGGCATTTTCGCTGCCTCGTGTCGTATCTGGTCTTTAAGCACTCAAAACAGAACACGTGAAAACACTTGGTCAAAATGGCGTCTTTCTTACGGGTATTACAACAAGGACACGTCAGTTTTGCCTAAAAAGAAAGAAACGTTCAAGAGATATTAGGCCATCTTCTATATGCGAATCAAGTTTTCTACATCAACAAAAACAACGTCATTTACACTTCCGGTGTACTATGGTAAAACAACGTCATTTCCACTTCCAGTGCACTATGGTAAAACACAATCATTTCCACTTCCGGTGCACATGGTAAAACATCATCATTTACACTTCCAGTTTACCATGGTAAAATAACGTCATTTCCACTTCCAGTAAAAATAGTAAAACAACATAATTTCCACTTCCGGTGTACATGGCAAAACAACATCAATTACACTTCCGGTGTACATGGTAAAATAACGTCATTTACACTTCCGGTATACTAGTTAAAACAGAGCCATTCACACTTCCGGTGTACTTGGTAGCAGTGAATTATTTCTACCTTGTACTGTTTGATTTCCTCCAACAGAATCTCATCCGCTGCACCATACAAGACATTTTTCTTCTCTTTTTCGAGTCTCCGCTTAAGACTTGCGCATTCCTCCTACAACAGTGAAAATAAACTGAATCAGTTCTCTGTGCACTTAGAAATGAACGACACACGATGTCCAGCAAGCAGAGGAAGAAAATGTCAAGAATTTCGGCGAAAAGCGAGGCCAGCGTGGTGGGAGTCCTTCGTCACTTCTCTCCCCAGACCCCTTCCTGCACGCTTGTTAACAAATCGACGCCAGTTTTTCATGCGTCTGTCCTGTTATTGATCATGAATTTCGAATCGTCATAACATTGTCAAAGTAGCTGTAGATTCACGATAGCCGAGAGGATCCGCAGACAAATTGTCAAATTGTCCTTTCTCGCCCGTTACGCATCGGATAAATCATAAATTAATGTGACTGTCCGCGTATTGACAATGAAAATTAGCCAATGAGCGCGCGAGAATTTCTGCAGTTATCATAAAAACAACAATTGACCGGCTCCGCTCAGCGGTTTCTCTTTTTCGCCGTGTAACCCAATGAGGAGCCTGTTCACAGGCTAAAAAAGTTGGAAAAAAGCAGCGAGCATTGTTTACCTGGACTCTACGAGACTTGAAAGCTTCTTCTTCAGATGCACGAGTCTGTTCCGACAGACTTTCCTGCGCCTTGGAATTGATACAAATGACAGTTATATAAAATTTGACATGCAAGCCAATTTTGCAATTTACAAAATTCCCTTTAATTTTAGAGCCTATAAAGCGAAATTTTTTTCGACATAATATATTTATTTATTTACCATGCAAGTCCAAATTCAATGCTGAATATAAAGGACTGCGTTAGCTAATAAACCAATAGATCTAATAAATATGACGTTTGAAATATACATTCCAAAATTTGAAACGCCTAGGATAAAAATCTTTTATTTAACAGGAAGGAGGCAGGAAACGTAACAACATTAATTTTCAAACAGGAAAGATCATAAAACCAAGAGATTGTAACAAATATATAGAGAAAGAAGTAGGATGGTTCAATCTGGGGTAGATTAACACGGATTACAAACGGACAAATCGGACGCATTTCATAGGCTACATTGGGGTATTCCTAGGAGTGAACTGGAGCCCGATACAGAAAAGATAATGTCTTCTGTGTGTAACATGAACATACCTCTTGAAATTGTTGTTGAAACGAGTCAAACCGGATTTTAACATCCTGGGCTGCCTGTGCACTTTCTATAGCCTGGAACAAAGACGCATTGATCAAGACATAGTACGGCCGCTTAACATAGAATTCTTTATTAAGAAATCAGTCACAACATACGTGTGGCTTTACAATCAATAACAAACTAAGCTAAACTAGAAAAAACCTATCATATGTATTACAAGAAAAATTTTAAGAAATAAATTAAAAAAAAACATCTATTTACAAAAGCCCGTTTGAATCGTTCCGTTTTTACTTTAGCGAGTATGAAGTCATGGCCCCTTTCTCTAAGAGCTCTGTTACGTTTGGGTGTGAGCAAAGACATTATGGGTTTAGGGTTAAAAAAACCGGGACAAGCTCCGGCGGTATGGACCACTTGGTTCCCCCCCGCCCCCGGCCCCTGCAGACTTCGCCTAGCTTGCACTATTGTAAGGCAAGCGTGCTAAATGATGGTAAACTGACCTTTCGTTTGTGTAAGTCCATCGCTTGTTGCCTTAAATTGAGTTCCTTCTCCAGTGAAGTCTGAATCAAGAGAGAAAAGAGAAATTAGAAGATCAACTTTAAATTAGACTAGCATTTAACAGGTTTAACTGAGATCGTTTAACGGATAAAGCTGTTATGCCCATTAACACCCTCCCAGCATGATCCTAACAAATGAATACGGAAAAAATGTAATAATTTATCGAGTGTTCTTGTGTGACCGTTAGAGCGAGAGTACAGTAGTGCTGTTGTTGGTGACTGACGTTTCGACAACCCGAGCAGAAGTTATCTTGTGAGTCAAGTGAATAGTGTTCGTCAGCCGATGGTGTCATAAGCCTGGTACGTTGAAACTGATTGGTCAGTTTAGTCGTGATGGTATTGGCTGTAATACTCGTGCAAAGTTTGTCAACAGTCTGAACTATTTTCAACCAGACGATCACACTACACGAGCTACTGATACTCCTAGATTCAAACCATTTACTAAGGCCCCAACCACACTAACGCGTTTTTGAAAGTATCCGTTTTCGTCACGACGAAAACGAAGCAAAATATTTTCGACCACACTAGCGTTTTCGTTTTGTTTTCACCTGTCCACAATAATGCATTTCCAGTCGAAAACTGCATACTTTTTGATGCGTTTCCCTCTATTGTCCACACTAAAACGCCCGAAAACGCTGATGGAAGCGATAGTATATGACGCTTTTTTCGTCACCGTTTTCAACTGAAAAACCTCCGTTTTCACCCGCCCACACCAAAAACGTTAAACGACGGAGCGTTTCCAGAACGATGCATTTTCAAAACGTTCCACTTTCGAAACCGTTTTCAAAGCCTCCGCGTTCATCAGCGTTTTCGGGCGTTTTAGTGTGGATGATTGGCGAAAACGCATCAGCAAGAATCCGTTTTTAAATAAAACGCATTAGCGCGGTTGGGCCCTAAATAGACCTCTTCAGCTTAGGCGGTTTATTTTCCTATTGTAGACCACGTGATATTCTCTAGAGAATTTTTCTTTTATCCATCTTAAAAACTATTCATTCATATACATGCGACTACTTAAAAATTTGAAAGCAAGAATTCTCAAGAGTAGCATCACGTGGCCAGCAATGGGAAAACAAACCGCCCAAGCTAAAGATGTCTGTTTATCGGGAAGTGTGAGAAACACGAGCCATACCACTGCATTCTGTAACGCCTTTTCTCTCTCCTCAAGTTTCTTCACCAGTTGGGTCTGTGTTTCACGGTGCGTGTTCAGGGAAGTCACTTGATCAGCCAGCACGTCCATCTCTTCTCGGATCTGTTTTTGAATCTGATTTCCTTTGATGCGCTGAGCACAGGTACAAGTACAAAAAGAACTCAATTCAACAATGGCTTACTAGAAGAGATACGAGTAAAGATTGGCGATATTCTGTCGTGTTTGTATAATAACACTTGCTCTCAATGGTTTTGCAAAGGACAGCGAGGCTAGAAATATAGAAAGATACATGTACAACTCACGTGCAGAGCCATAATACTGCAGCAAATTTTACCCTTTGTTTCTCAAATTCCCCGTAAAACTGCCGCTATCAAATGCAAATGCTCAAATACAAAAACTGCTCTACTCTCACACTGTTATAAAGTCTAAAGCAACAAGCAACGGTCAAGAAAGTGGCATCGAGGCTCGGTCGTGAAATATTTTGTCTCACCTCAGACATAAGCTTAAGGTTAGCATCATCTTTTTCTCTAAGCTGTTGCAGCAGTCGAACGTTCTGTTCTTGCATCTCCTCGAACGCTTGTCCAGTGAACTCCATTTCTGCCAGCACAGCATCTTCCTCCTAAAATCAGGAGCAAGTTAAACTTCAAAAGAGCCGTTTAACAACTCATTTAACCTTGGACGGAAAAACCATACATCTTCCAAACGAGTTCGTTAGACATATTGTTGCACAATTTTCAAAATAAGTCCATACTGTTCATGACCATAGCGGTTATAGCTGTAGCAATTTTTTTTCTTGCATACCTGTCGTTTCATTGCCCATCGTTAGCAATTCTGAATCGCTATATATAGTGCTTTCACGCTCTTGACGATAAGTAAGGAAACGCCAAGATGCAGTTGATTAACCCTCGCTTAAGTTTAAGATAATCCTGTTACATTACTTGAGCAAAATTTCGTCCGAAATATTTACATTATAGTATGAAACTTTGAAGTAACGCCAAAGCTCTTATTTCCTTTATGCCGGGCTTTATGGAGCCAGCTCTAGTTGAGACACGAGTCGAAATGCGAAACAGCTGGATAGAATTTGTGTTATTTTGTCGTCGGTGTATTCGAAAACCTTGAGGCTGCTGTAAGACTATCATTATTTATAAGTGTACTTTACTTTAGCTATGTTTCAGCAAAGTGTCCGAAACTGTTGTCCGAAATTTGTCTGAAATGAGCTAAAAAATGTCCGAAAGTTAAACGTCCAAAATATACCTCCGAATGTTTTCAAAATAGTAATTGTACCTGTTTTGTTGCAGCTAGATTCTTCTGTAGTTGTTCGATTGTTTCTTCAGCCATCCTCAGCCTTCGTATCGCCTCCTCGTCAGCCAGGGCGCCTTTGTGCTTCTCCAATTCTTTCTCAAGGCTTTCTATCCGAGCTTTTTGCTCCTCTATCTGCTCTCTGAGACGTTTCTCCTCCGACAGAAGCTAAACAACAAATGCAAGCGTTAGCAGAGTAAGAGGAAAACAACGCAACTATTGATAAAAAAAAAAAAGCAAAAGCTTGAAACTAAAAAGATTACATGTACATACATGTACCTCAACTTTATCTCTGAGATCTTTCGCTGCCCCTTTATAAACATCTAACACCAGCTTCATCTCTTTCTGAGTTTCCTGGGATTTCCTGCACATAATTTCAAGAGTAAAGAAATAGGATACAGGAATGTGTTAAAATAGTTTAATTTCGGCAGGGGAAGGAAAACTAGAGTCAAAGATTTTACCTGTCCGGCTCTCTGTTTAGTCAAAACGGGTTATATCGTAATGTAGTTCTGTTTTAGCCTTGAAATGTGCTGCACAAACAAGTGAATTTAACACAAACTAGTGATCAATTCAGTCAGGTAACCTTTACCGGAAAAGACACTAACCATAAGCAGATTACAATCAGTGACACAGCTCATTGACAAAAGAATAATAATGCAAAAATAAATAACTTTATTTAAGTGTCAAATGTATTTAGCACTGTTGCGCTAATTGCGGACACTGTAAATAATTATACAAATATTGCAAATAGAATATAAACTATTAAGAATCCCAACTGGTAGGGGACTGACCAGTTGGCTATTTACACAACGCGGTGGAGGAGTTGAACTCGGGACTACCGAGAATTTACGGCCAAATCGCTCAGGCACATGTACTACGTTGCAGTCATCCTTTACACCTTCACGTGTGCATTGCAACTGAACGACCTATCTCATGGACCAACTTTTACAGTATTTAAAAATACACTGAGGAAAATAATCAGAGCACGCTCTGAGTGTTATCACGCTGCAGAGAGAGCTGAAGCGGACACCAAGGCGCTAAACCTCTGAGAATCCTCAAATGGGAACCAAAGACAATGCCGCACTGAAATAAAACTCTGTGAGCGCGTAGAAATGTACATGTAGGAAATGCACCATGCCACAGTCATATGGTTGTCTAGTCGGAGATCTTTGGTGTCCTTTGTTAATAGGGAGCTTAAGCAACGACGAATCCCACGCCGAGCACTACGCTCAGTGAAAAATGAATTTATATTTTACCAGCGAAATTCGCAGTTATCTAGATCTGTTCCGTACCCCAAAGGCTCTAAAAACGTGCTCAGGCTAAATACGCAATGACAGCGTTCAATTCCAATATAAATACGAAGAATTAGCCGTCGTCGTCTGCGCTCCTCAGACTACGCAGAACTTGGTCATTTCACGGTTTTGTTTTGCAGAAGACGGCAAAGAAATGTACAAAGATTTATAACGCACGTGCACAGCCATTGATCTGCTCATTAAACCTTTTGTCTGGTGACGTTCTCGTTGCCGTCGTCGTCGTAGTTTGCTTAAGCACCCTACTATCAACTCACTTCATCACATAACACTCACTTCAAGCTTGCCCGCAGTTCCTTGAGCTCCATGTCATTGGATTTACTGCTTGACGCTATTTCTTCACCCTCCTCTATCTCTCCTTCTTCCTCTGATTTTGAAGCTTTGGACTCTGGTTCATCTTTTTCTGGCTCTTTCTGACCTTCTGCCTGGTTCTCTTCCTCAACTGATTCTGCCTTCTTGCCTGACTCCTTGGTATTCTTTAGTTCTTCAGATAGCTAACAGAAATCAAAAATAAGATATCATGCCGTGTTCGGCAATTAAACTGATCTTATACTCTTAGGGGTCAAAGCAGCAAGACACATTGCTGGAATGACATAATACACTTTTATTAAGGAGGCTCTGTCAGGTGTAGTTACCTTAACGACTTGAACCTGGGCCTCACTGAATTTCCTTTTATATCTTGACACTTCAACTTTCAGTTGCTGGTTGTGACTCTAATCACATCAGTAAAACAGACAATCAGAATAGTAATTATATTTATTTAATAATTATCACCAATGATTGTTAAATGCACTATAACATTAGACAATTTTTTGTGCAACTTGACAAGCAATTTTGTTGACCAAACTTAAATGAAAAATCGTCTAGTGTTACGCACATTCTGAAATAAAGGTATCTCCTAATGTTTACGTTTTCGTCAAGGAGAGCACTTCACAAAGTAGAATCATACTCTTCTTTTGCAACAACTGCAGCAAAGCAGCAACACTGTTTTGTGCCTTGACTAGTGTTGAGCAAAGGAACGTTTCATTAAATTCATTTGGCAAAAGGGTTATAAAATTGAGAGACAAGTTTCCTCTCTTAGGAACTGAAAATTTAACAAAGTGAGAGAAAACAAAACTATAAAATTGTTTACCTGTAAACTGTTCAGCATGTGGCTCATCTCTTTTGTCATTGGGCCTGTGTAGAATTAGCAGTCAACATGTGTGTGTATGTATGTATGTTTAGTTCAACGGCAAGTACATACAACTATTAAGCAGTAATAAGCTGGACATAATTAACATAGTGAGGGAAGATGCAAGATCTTCAGTCTCCTCAGATCTGATCTAACTTTATTAGCAAGTTGTCAATAACTTTTTTTGTACTACATGTATCCTATTGGTACATGTATTGTACTGCAAAGAATGAATCAGATCAGCATGTCACACATGGTCCAGCCTGCAACAGCTCACCGACGCACATTAGACTGATATTTGGAACAAATTGAGCTGAACTTGAAATTCTTAAGCGTCACAATTTCTTAATCCATCACGATGTTCTAATTGGTAATAAGTACACAGAATGCATGTCACATGTTATGGTACCTACTGTAGTACAGCTTTTACTTCAAGCCATCTCTGTTAGTTTATTAGGTATCCTATCTCTATTAAAATGGAATCTATCTACTGGTACATTGTCAAACCTGTTTGTTCATTTGCTTTGAGGTTTTGTTCAAACTCCATTCTTAGCAGGTCGTAGTCTCTTTTTACTTGCAGTAATGCATCGTGGAGCTCACTGACTTCAGCCTTGTATTTCTTTTGTATTGTCACATTGTTTGACTGAAATGAAAATGTTGATATTTCATCACACCTGCCCAGCTTTTCATGTATCACATGTCAATGTATTTATTGGGGAGCAGGAATGGTTCAGTGGTGAGAGCGCTTGCCTGCCACCAATAAGGAACAGGTTCAATTCTGGCCTGGTGTCATAAGTGGGTTGAGTTTGTTGTTGGTTCTCGCCTTGCTCTGAGAGTTTTTCTCCGGGTTCTCCGCTTTTCCTCCCTCCACAAAAAACAACACTCCAAATTCCGGTTTGACCAGGATTGTGGACCAGCTTGAAAACCAGGTAAGGCTGATGTGGCTTTCTCTCTAAACATTGCACTTTTTTAATTTTATGGAGTGCCCTCCTTGAGAAAGCAACAACTGTGATGATGTACAAGGAATAGTACACTGCTCCATATGTATTAAGTTACACATGCATATACAATGTCAGTATTTCGACCAAAATAATGTACCTCAACTTGTTCCAATTGTAGGACATGCTGTGTTTTAGTGGTGCTCAGAACACGTCGGGTGTCATCAAGTTGCTGACGAAGCTTTAAAAAACAAACACAATATCTATCATGTTACATGATAGTTCAGTAGACACCCACAAAACTACCCTGTGAGTGGTTCAAAAAACTGACACTGCAGAACTTGGCTGGTTTCCTCACTCGACATAATTTTCATACAAGAATGATTGAACAGACTTGAGGAATCACCTTCAGATTTTACATTCTTAAAAAGTTTTAACTTTAGTCAATAACAACCACACCAACCTGGGTGACCTCTCCATATAGAACTGAAAATTGTGATTGCAAACATTTGTATGGGGCTGACTGAAGAACAGCACTTTCAGGCATTTGGTTTATCTGGAAGATAAAGAGAAATTAATGGAACATTGAACAAGGTTTAGCTTAGTAAAATAAAGCTTCAATATTGCATCAATTAAGCTACATCTCCTAACCTCCAGCTTCAGTTTTTCCAGCTCTTGTTGACTTGTGATGAAATTTTCATTCAGTTTTTCCAGCTCTTCAAGTCTTGTCTTGGCCAAATCTCTCAGGTCCTCTAACTCAGTTGATACTTCATCATGCTATGACAACAATGTACATGTATGCAACATTTTTCAACTTAAATGTGCGATGATATGAAAAACGTTTACATTTACATTTATATGTATATGCACTATTTACAAGTATGCAGACAGATAGAAAGAATGACAGACAGACAGTCAGACAGACAGATAGACTGGCAGAAAGAAAGACAGGCATTTTTATTTCAACACAGAATTTCTTCAATTGCAGTGAATTGGTTTCCAAGAAAGCCATGCTAAAAAATTACTACAGTACATGCACCTCTCTCTGACCAAGTTTGAGTCCTACACTTACAAAGATATGCCCCAAGTTTTTTTCCCCCAAGGATTCATAGCTCACATATGGACAGAGAAAAAAGTTCCAGTTTTAATCCTTATGACATCTCTTGCATGGGCCAGGGACATTGAGAAAGATAAATCCATGTGCCATATTGTATAATTCCCCACATAAAAATTGACCATTCACATTGCATGAACTTTCTGAGAGATACCTACCACTTGGCCAGAGATACCTGAACCACTAGGCCAGGTTTCGACGGAGATATTTCAATCAAAGTAACGGTTCTGAAATAGAATTCATAAGTCAGAATACCATGGCAGCCATGATTACCTGTACTGGTTCACTTTCCCCTGCTTCACCTGGTGCTGTATTTCCTTCACGCAGTCTCTTATTCATATCTTCCAGTTCATTAAGCCTCTTCACCAAGTTGTCCACCCTGTGGTTGGCCTTTTGAAGTTCATACGTGGCATCTTGAAGTTCAGTGTTAAGTTGAGCAATCTCTTTTTGAGCCAAGGCATACTTATCACGAATTTCTGAAAACTGAAAATGATAGAAGCACTCAGTCCAAGTGTTCCTGAACACGATTTTAACAATTCACATGTACAGGTATACAGCTTACTAAAGCCTTTTCACAAGCAACACAAGCATACATACGAACACAAGAGTCCAATGAAATGCCGAAAAAGTACTTTGATCACCATGCCGGTGCTTATGTTTCTATGTGTTTGTATGGCCTCTGGTGCAAGTGTCCACATTGTATGCTTGAGTCACAAATGAAAACCAGAATCAAGTAATCTAAACATTGGGTTTTGCAAATGCCTCTGTCCATTTGTTTCAAACAATAATTCAACAGAAGGCGAGAACCTCTAGTGAAGTAGTCTGCTGTTTTTGATGAAGTGAGGTGACCAACTCCCTCAGCTGTTTGTTGTCTGCATCCAAGTCAAGTTTTGGCTGTTCAGTAGAACTTGGCTCTGGAGCTGATTCTTGTTGGCCTTGCTGATCTTAATTTGAAAATAGAATAAACAACATTAGAATTAGTTATGAAGGATTTGCTTATAGTTACATCTACAGTGCAGCTCAGAAATAAGCCAACTACCGGTAAGGATACGCAATATATACACACATTTTTTTCACATATGCATGTGCCCTTATGCATATAAATGTGCGTAAAAGTTTCGTTATTTGAAGCACATTGTTGGACAAACAAAGGGCATTTCTAGGAATGAAAAAGTGTTGGTCTTCAGTGCAAAATTTGCATACTGTCAAAATTTCAATGAATGCTATCATATTCACGTTTTTGATCCCTTGTCAAATTCCCCAACAAGCTACTATTTATTAACACTTGCTTGATTTTTAGTGAATTACGTGTTTATTTTGGTTCCCTTATTTCTAAGCTGCACTGTGTAACACAGGGCTATCATTAAGGACTCTAACCTGTAACAACTGTCATGGCTGAGTACACTTGATTTTGCCTTGATGCTATGGGTGAAATTGCCGTTGTTGGTAGAATTCACCCACAAAGTAACAAGTTTGTTACAGGTGTGGATAACACTCAGGTGATTCAAAACTTAATGACAACCCTGTAACAAGCCATGACAATTGAATTCAGCCTTATATACCAACAATTTTTTTTTGCTGAAAACAAACAGAAATTCTCTTGTGTCACAGCACCTTTATGTCCTTCTTCCTCAGCTTGATTCTCACTATTTGGTTTCTCTTTTGACACTGTGGATGAGTATGGCCCAGAGATTTCTACATAGTGTAACAGCTTTCTTGTGTGTTCTTTAGTGGCTGCAGATCTTTTGGCCACTTCTTGCCGAACTTCTTCCGAGTCTAAATTGGCCAGGTAGTCCAAGTATGAAAGAGTAGCCTCATTGGATGTCTGCTCTGAGTCCTCTTCCACGATACCTTCATATCTTTGTAATATGGTCTTGATGTCTTCATCAAGCTGTAAAGTGAAGAAAAGAACATCTACTGTAATATCTCTAAGAGATACATGGTGTATCTATAAATTCTCCATATTAATTTTAATACTTACTTGATTGTAAAGTTAATAGCAATCAAGAAAATAATCACCAAAGAGAACTTGCCTCCTCGTAAAACCATATCCTTCTAAGAAGTATTATGAACTAAAGAATATCTGGACACTACATAATAATTTTAATACTACCTGTACATGTATGAAACACAGCAAAAAAAACCTTTTTAAATGTCACACAGAAACCAACAAGGGCTCAAACTGGATGTTATAATTTAACATACAAAACACCCAACCATTGAAGGGAAGGTTTCACGGTTCAGCACATGTCTGCATTATTTATACGCCTGTGCACACTTTTTGGCACAGGCCAGTTTTTCATTGTTTATGAACCAATCGTAAGCAAGTTATCTAATTTCACATGCAAATACAATGTAGCCATAAAATCATCAGCCGTAGAATAAATTGTACGGGTCAACACTATATTCAATGGTCGACAGCGAAGGTAAAATTCACCGAAATCTACTGAGAATTTGGGTCATCTGTCATTCCGATAACTGAACTACATCTGATTGGGGTCTTTTAAGTAATAACGTTGATAAGAAGCGAACAAAAAATATTTTGATTTAGAGCCATGCACCGAGCCATAAAACCCTCCCTTAAAATGTTTTTCTCTTTTCATTTATAGTGTAAAACCTTTTGCCATAACCCTTTAAGCGGGTTTCCTTGTATTTTGAAAATTTTAAAATACCTGCATCCAATGTCTGTTGATGACAGAGATGATATCCAGATCAGATTCTCTCTGTTTCTTAAGCTCATCCACTTGTTCTTTTAACTTCTCTTCTTCTATCTTTAATTCTTCCAATCTCTCACCAAGTTTCTTATTTTGAAACTGCAAGACCTTCAAGTTCATTTCATCCTGCAAAATGTAATAAGCATCAATCAATGTCATTTTCTGTTAATTCCATTATTAATAGCAAACTATTGTGGAAATGAACTGAGAAAAATCCACCTATTGTAGAGAATGTTGTTAGAAACAACATTTGCTTTATTACTCATGGAAATGAGCATGTACATGTACATCAACCTGTTTTCAGTTTTCAAGGTTTGAATACACATGTCACACACAAACCTTCAAATGTACCATGTGCATTATGGCCATGTAACAGGGAAACTAACTCACTATCTGTTCTTTTTAATCGATTTTGATGGATTAGACGTGACTGATAAGTGAGCTACACGTTTCAAAAAAGCTCAGTTAAGTAATTACTAGCCCCGCCTTATATAAGCTCAAACTTAACTTGTAATTTGTATTTGTTCAAGATAGGTTGCGAAAATCAAGACTTGAAGCATTAGTACGCAAAGTGCTCTACGGAAGCCCAAAGATGAAGAAACTACTAAAGGAGATCTAAACCACCGGCAACAGGAAACTCTATTTCATGGTATTTTTCGCAAAATGGCAACAACTGTCAATTCACCTCGGTTGAAACAGAACCAATGTTCATGGGCGGAATCATCTTTGTTAAAACCTGCTTCTTCGCCGGGGGTACCCCCGACGATTCTGACTGAGAACGTTTCATTCCGTCCACTTAAATGAAGGCGATCAGTTCTTTACAGCTGATTTCTAACTAATTTTAGCTTTCGCACACCTGGTGGTCGCCATTTTGAACGAAGTTAACCTCGCTTTCAAGCTTTCCTTATCAGCAGTTTCTCAATATTGCAGTAGGTACTGTATATAATAGCAACAATTTCTACCCACTTGCGAAGCGGAGGGTGACCGGGTGTCGTTCCATATTTCTCGACATCAGGTTGGCAAACGTTTATATATATATACGGAAANCCACTCTTGATACTTCTGATCACATTGGTTTTCTTTGAACCCCGTCTTCTTTGCACCCTGCTATGGACTCAAATCCCATTCAGGGGGTAGCAGAGATACTCCTAGTCACTTATTGCTACAGGTGGGGAGATACACTGTTATTGAGCCTTGTGCAAAGACACCATCCAATGACCCTAGCCAGGGTTCAAACCCAGGCCACTCAAGCCCAAGCCCAGAGAGCTAAGGTCAAATAAATTATTACGCCAGCAAAATTCTGGAAATAAAATTGCTGAATCACAGCATCCAGCATAATGGTGACATAATGACTAAAATATTTAAGCATGAATGTCTTAAACTCCATTTCAAGTTCAAGAGAGAAATAAGTTTAGCCAAGGGAAGATGACAAAAAAAAAATTGTTGTTGAGTTTCTGCAAGTTCCAAATCATGATTATATTGTACTCACTTTTCAATTTTGTGATTTCCACCCACTTTTCAACTGTCAGTGAATTTGGCCTTCTATAGCTTCTACTTTGAGAAATGTGGTCCAATAAAATGTTGTGTTCTGAACTTCAGTAAGACTTTTTCCCTTAAAACTTTTACCTGTTAGCAGCAGGGAAGGGGTGAGGGGATTGGAAAGCGTTTTAAGGCTCTTAAATTGAATTATTAAATGGAGCTTAATTCTCAGGATACTGCTGTTTTTAGGGGTGATGCTGAAAGGTGTAATGCTCCAATTTTCGAGCGCAATTTATCTAACTCATACAGGGAGCCGCGATGACCAAACATGCCTTATCCTCCACCCCATCCCCTATCAGGACAAATATTGCCTTCGAAGATTGTTACGATTTCGCAATATTCTTTGATGTTGGCCAAGCACAACAACCACGTGAAACGAAACATGATAAACTGTCATCGAGAATGGCAAATTTAAAAGTTTTTAGCTTATATTGTATCTAATATAAGCCTACCTGTATCTACGTGTCGCATAAACAGGCATTGACTAAAGTATGAGTTTATTAAAAATACAATAGATAACATGTACAACAACGCCGCGAGATACCTTGATAAGCTCATTATCTAATGTACAGTACTCTAGAATATTTTTAACATACCGTGCCGAATGAAACAACCAACTTCACGTATCCACAGTACTGGAGGACCAAGAACCAAGAGCTGAGCCCAAAACAACTAAGAACAGTTAGGATGGCTAGAGCGAGCAGACAACAAATGCAAAGAACCACGGTGCTACGATGAATTTCCTGCGATCCTCGATCGTACATCAAGCACTGTATTCCTTGAAAACTTGTGCAAATAAATGCTACGAGGGCGAACACGACATCGGTCAGTTTGACAGGGTTGTCCTCGGTCAGATCGCCCAAAACGTTTGGTTTAAAGTAGACGGTGACATTGTAAATCATGTAGGTAACGTAACTGAGGAGGAAATAGGCCAACATGTCGAACGAAAAGCCCACCACGCTTTTCCGTCTCCAGTTTTCATAGATCTGCGGCAAAAAAGATACTGTCCAGGAAAGGAAATATCCCCAGCCAACGACATCGGCCAAAATGACGAGGAAAGTCGTGTTGGCCATATCGATGAGTGCCGGCAAATTGAACAGTCACAGTCTTGTTTTGGCGGCATGCGGCATGTGAGAGGCGCGAACGTGACGTAAACGATTTCAACCAATCACTGCATTTCGTCGGTTTATCTGTTACCTCTTCCTTTTCACTTCAGTTTTACTTTGCACGTCATGGCTAATGCGATTATCTGAGAAAATATTCTGATCAGAACGATAAAGAAATAAAATTTGCAATTATTTTAATAAATCAGTAAATTAATCACTTTTTTAAGTCTCACTGCTGTACTAATATTTATTTATTTATTTATTTATTTACCATGCAAGTCAATGGACACAGCAAACAAAGAAGCAAATATAATTTACAAATCGAACTGAGAACTGACAACCTGTTAAAAATCCCAACTAATCGGAAGCTGACCAGTTGATGATTTACAAGATGTTCAAGACCTATCTAGTGCCGGAGGTGGGGAAGGAGGGGGCAGGAAGGGGCAGGAATTCCAACACCTAACCGCTTGTCCATAAAGGATGGTAAAAAGACAAAAAATACAAAAATGCTAAATTTTGGGTATGGGGGAAGGGAAGTAGGACCTTGAAATCACTACCAGAACTAGACTCGGACTGGGATGGATAGAGGATTTTGGAGAAGGAGGTTCGAGATACATGTACCGGCCAACAGGCCAAGTCAGCCTGTTCTTAAATGTCTCGTTTTTTTTCTTTTTTTTTTTTTAAACTTAGGGGGGTTGGACCACACCCCCCGAACTCCCCCAAGATTTGCCCCAGTCAGACTCAAGTATGGTAAACAGATACTGACTGATTGCAGTAAATCAATTGTCCTACTGCCACAGGTAGTTACAGTTCATACCAAAACTCATCATCACATCATATCCTGGTCTATAGCAAGAGCTACAAACCAGTTTATTATAAAGATAGTGATTTGCTACACTGACTTGACTTGCACAAGGAGAAAAAGTTTTTGCTGCAAGATTTGTCATTGGGGAAGTGACATCGTGACCATACTAGAACCACTTGGGCTGATTCTTCAAAGTTCCAGTTGGATGTGAAAGTCTTCTTTATGTACCTTTCCTGAAGTGACCTCATTAGACACTTAAACTCCAAACACTCGATCAACTTGGATGGTCAGAGCTCAAGCAAGAACTTCAAAGCTCAATTTTTGGGGAGAAGAAACATTGGAATTGTTAAAAAAAAGAATTGGTGGCTATTATTTATGTATTACAGAGGTACTAAAACCATAAATCCCTCAGGGTTATTTGAAAAATTTACATAAAAATAACTTTGGACAGCTTACACTTTATTACTAGTAAAACGTTTTATTAAATAGGTCACATTTGACTACTCCAGGTAAAAACACCAATCCCCATTTCCATAAATTATGAAGTTCACATTTTCACTCCAAAAGGTAAGTTTCTCAACTTTGAACAATTGGTAATGATGGAGTAACTCTTTTCTTTCTGCGTTGAAAGGTTGCTGTATTTTCAGTACACAATTGCTCCTTATAGTCATCAAGCCATTGCCATTTCATGTTGTGCAGCATATCTAGACAAGTTAAAACAAAGAAACAGGATGAAACTTTTAAATCCCATAACCATAACCATCTTTCTTTTTTACTGGCTCAGTGGTTGCGCACATGCATGCCTTAATCGTTTATAATTTTAATTCACCAGGATGACCTTAAACAATGAATGACAAAAATCCCTGCAATAACATGTCAACAGCCTTGCAACTTTGTATTTACGAACACTTGATGATTAAAGGCAAGGGGAGTGAAGAGGTGAATCACATAGACTACCTATGCTTTATCCAACAATAAATGGTGGGTGTAATCAATGGTTTTTACTATCTATGTATCCTCCAGCCCACCCTCACCTTAAAACAATTTATCCTTGTCTCTACTCAACTTTGACTTATATATGTTTTAAAAGCCTAATCGATCTCTTCCTTTCCTCTTTCAAGAGTTCCCATTTCCTCCCTGAATTTATCACTCACCTCCCTGTAACATGGTGAAAAAGTTGCCTCTCTATGTCTCCAAGCAGAGAACTGGCACCAATTCTAAACAAGTTGGGATGTGTCCAATCATCTCCAAGTTCTTCCTTCATCAAGGAAAGCCATGTTAAAGCATCTTTGGCACTACGGATTCCACCTGCTGGCTTGAAGCCTACTTTGTGACCTGTTTGCTGAAATGAGAAGCAAAATCATAACCTTCTTTTTTCATGAACAGCATCTCAGTAGTTTTACATCAGACAACCAAAGATGTCATGTAAATATCTGACTCAAGTCATCAAGCCTAAACATGTCTTCTGGGGGGTAGAAGACTATAACTTGAACAACTGGTGTATTCTGTATTCTTTGGAGAATCATTCAAGTAAAGGCTTTTCATGAGGCCATTGAGTTAGCCATGTGACTATAACTAACTTGACAATGACACATTCCTCACTTAGGTGTTGCATGTTGATGTGTAGTTGTTTAAGAAACCGTTAGGCTGCATCAGCGGGCAAGTAAATCACTTAGCTACACGTATATACTTAACATCTTAAAGTTGAAAAGGGTAAATTAACTACTGTAGCAGGTTTGTGAAGCCGACATTTGTAAATCTGACATTAGCTCGCAATCAGTGCTTCCAAAAATCATTGGAAGTTATTATTGTTAAGCCAGATTTGACCACACTGACATATCTAGTACTATAAAGTACTGTAAGACATAACTAACAAAACAGAAATGCTCACACATGTATTACCTGATAGAAATCCCTGACTGCCCGCACCATAACTAATGCGACTGGAAATGTTGCATTTACAGACTCTTTACCAGTTGATGTTTTAATGAAGTCTGATCCAGCCATCATTGAAACCAGACTAGCTTTGTAAACATTGGTTAGAGAGCCAAGTTCACCTGTAAGGAAAAATAAGTAAAAAATCAATAATGCATGTCAACATCTACAACAAACAGTTCTCCATTTAAATTTGTACTTCTTCATTTAAATCTGTACTTGTAATTGTGATAGTGTTTCAGGGAATATTCCGCCTGGGGCCCACAGTTTTAGCTAAAACTGTGGGCCCCAAATAGTTATGTCACACTTAAAATATGTCACACCTTAATAATATTTTTACGCCTGTTTCCTAGA